CTGAAAATAAGCTGTTAAGCACGTGCATGCGCAGTGAGGTGAGTTTGCCTGCAGCTCACGTGCTGGCACAAATGGCTCTGTGTGCCACCTGTGGCACGCGTGCTATAGGTTCGCCATCACAGGCCTAGAGGAAAAAGCCAAGCCACATTTGTTTATGCTTGTCACCACTTGTCATGTGGCAATTTATCACCCAGACTGATACCTTAACATCTGTGCCATCGTTTATGGAGGCTTCCCTCCCCCTAAGGGTCAAGTCTTCTATGGATAGGATACAGGCACAGTGTTCACTTTTTGTAGCAACTTGGATGAGGAATAATTAAATTACAGCCTGATTAAATAAATGGCCTAGAGGAGGGTGGAGACTAGCTTTGGTCAAGGGAAGCAGGCTGCAATGAGATCAGGAGAATAGTGGGGGAGAGAGGTTATTATTAATCATGTTATGACCAATGTCAAAACAAAGCTACCTTTATAAGTCGAGCTGTACAAGATTCTTAATACACGGTTAAAAACGGAGGCCCCTGAATTCACTTACTGTGCTTTGGAAGCCAACTATTTGACCCAGAGAGTTTGGATTGTTAGGAGGTTCCGGGCCATTTGCTCCAGGCTCAGGGATTATCGTCGGGTTCAGCACAGCTTTCTTTTCTTTGAGGTTAAGGACCAAGCCTAGCTCTGGCAGAGGCAAACAGGAAGGCCTGCTAAGACCAAACAGGGTGAAGTACAGGTCGACAGCACCACAGCGCAGCCTCCAGTCATGGCATGTACCTTGGGGAGCAGAGAGGGAGAGAGCAAAGAGTCATCTTTACAGACACGATGCCTTCTGCTGTACCATCCACAGCAAGGGGAAAGAGCTCTCAAAAAGGTATCAACTTCACCTCTACAGGTAGTCCTAGAGGTTATGACATTGGGACTGGGATTGCCAATGTGAAGCACAATTTTGAATGACTGCACTGCTTAGCAATGACGATCCAACAACTGGTAACTCCAGGTTGAGGGCCGTTTAAGGGAGAAGCAGAGAAATTCCCAGGTAAAGGAAATAGGGCGGCTGCAGAGAGGTGGGAGATGCCCAATGCTGACCGCGCACAAGTTGGGAGAGGGGGATGCTGCGGTGTGGCACAAGCTCAGGAAGGTCAGGGAAGGAGGACACAAGGTGCTTACAAGAGGAAAAAGGCTGGCAAGAGAGGGCATGGGTACAGGCAAGGGCACACAGGCCTAGGAAGGAGGGCACTGGTGGATGCCTCCAAGCACAGTGAGGGCCAGGAAATAGGATGGTGTGTGTGTGTGTGTGTGTGTGTGTGTGTGTGTGTGTGTGTGTACGCGTGCGCGCATAGGGAGGCCCAGGAGGGCATTTGTGGGTGCATGCCCATTAGCAAAGGATAGAAGAAGAGTGAGGTACATTTGAATTAACAGAAGGGAGGGAGGAGAGTGCTGTACAAGTACATGAAGGCACAGGAAGGACATTGCTGGTGGGTGCATGTATGCAGCAAAAGAGGGAAGGAGAGTATGGCATATGCAAAAAAAGAAAGGTGTGTGTGTGTGTGTGTGTGCGCGCACGCGGGGGGGAGAGTTACCTGAGCAAATTGCAACTTCCCTTTTTGGCTTCCCCACTGTGTGAGCCTGCAAGGTTGCAAATGGTGATCAAACTCAAGGCGTCACATTGCTCTCACATAATGTTTTCCCCTTAACGGAGCTGGGGTGGGCGTGGCCTGTGCGTGATGCATGCGGGCCGCCAGTTTGACACTCCTGGATCACGATTGCGGGACATTGCCACCGGCATAAGTAAAAACTAGTTGACAAGCGCCAGAATTTTGTTCATGGGAAAGCCGGGGAACTGAAACGGCTGGAACTTCCAAGAACCAGACAGAAGTCCTTTCATTCAGCACCAGTTGCAACTTCAAACCGTTGCTGAACAAATGGCTGTAACTCAAGGACTGATACCATTTTGTAAACAACGAGCATTCTGACCGAACATTAGCAAGAAATAACTAGCAATGTTGTTTTTACTTCTTATGCTTAACTGACAAAATATTCATTGTATTTTTTATTAAATACTTCCAACAAATGGACATTAAATATATTAACTATGGGCTACCAACTGCAGTTAGAACTGGCAAATCTGCCACTAAGGGATGCGGTCATAAAGTGAAATGCCACGTGACTGCACCTGACTTATATCAGATCCAGTTGCCAGTTGTTAAATGAATCGCTTTGAGTCTTCAAGCACATCATGTTACAGTGACTTGCAATTTCCCACTGGCTTCCCCACTATCTTTGCTTGTTGAAAGCCAGCTGACAATCATGTGATCGCTGGAAGCTGCAACTATCATAAATGCACGCCGGTTGCGAAGAGCCCAATTCATATTCACAAGACTGCAACAACTGTGGCTTTGAGGACCAATCAGAAATCTCCCATTTTCCACAACGTTGTAACTTCAAACAGTTGCTGAACAAGCGTTCAGTAAGTGAGGACTGCATGTACAGTAGTCACATCTTACACTGAAACAAGTTGAGATTTTAAAAGGTCAATTCCTCTATATGCTCTGTGTGTGTGCACATGCACAGGCGGATCTATGGGTGTGGGTGTGTAATATTATACCGGTAGATGTAAACCTATAGACATAGGTTTATTAGTCATTAGCTTTAATGACTATACATTTAGTAGCGTGCAAGGTCAAGAAAAGATATATTTATAATATGGGAAGCAATAATATTTTGAAATATGCAAATAAATTTGCAAAAGGAAAAAAGTCACACAAGATTAAAGTCATATCATAAATGTTTTGAAATATGTTATAAACAATTGGTCAGGTGAAAATCAATTTTTACACCCTTGGAAAAACAAGTTCTGTTATACAAACAGACACACAGACACACACATACACACACCAGTAATAGAACTCTGGCGCAGCATTTTTCTTCTCTAAAGTATTGTGTATTTAAAAAGAGCATCTTACTAGGAAAAGTTCCACTCATGCTTTGCTTGCAAAAACTCTTTAATTTTTTTTTTAAAATCCAGACCATATTTTTATACGAATGATTAATCTGAGATTTAAAAAAACCCAAGGAGTTGTTATGGGAATAAGAGGTGCCACTGTACACCACTTCCTGGGAGGGGTGAGTGGGAAAAGACTGCCTCCATAATCAGAAGTATGTTTCGCCTCTCTAGGAAGCAGGATGTTAGACCTCTGAAACCAGAAGTGCCATATAAACACAAAGGCACACTTCAATTTATCTAACTCTCACAAATTTCTTAATCCCATCTAAGGCAGTAGCCATTGCTACAACTTGTGGCAACAAATTAATATGCGGGTAGATTCCCCTCGGTGCCAGACCCAATCCTAATCAAAGTAATTTGAAACAAAGAACATGTGTGTCAATATGTAAGATTTAAGTTCAGAGACAGGTTGTGTGAAGGGCTGAAAAGGGGAGAACAGCCTCCTCCCGGTTCTGCTGATGGAAATGGTTCTATCAGGAGAAAGTCTTAACTGCATAAAAACTAACTTCATCCTCAATGAACAGTTGAACAAACTTGCTGAATATTATTTTTTATATATTGTCCCTCATTATATAAGAAGGACTCAGCATCTGAAGATTTTGATCACCTCTGGCCCTGTCAATTATGTTAATGCTTCTTAGAGAAATCAGTGGATTTTATTGATGTGACATTTCTTTTCCAAGTTCAGCTGAATTTCGAAGAAGCCTACCCTAAGGATCAAACTGAGCCATTAGTTCACTATTACAAAAGCAAACCCAGTACACGATGGGGGTCATTTCCATTTATAGTATACCTGGAATAATGTTTATTGCAGAACTGACTAAAAGACAAAGTCTATGTTAGAGGAAAGTGTGCAGGAATTAAGTCCAAATAAGTTCCATTTGTGTGCTTTAGACTATAATGGCATAAGGTAAATTCTGAACATATATAAAAATGTATGTTCAACCTTAGTCTGTATATCAAGAGAATGTCTGGGAAACATCCAGTATATACAGTAAATAAGGCAGTAAGTACATACTGCTTTGAGTATCATGCTAGAAAAGAATATGAATTTAATAAAAGAAGACCTTCTAAAATCAGTAGGACTTAAGCAAATCAGTAGGACTTAAGCAAATGTAAGTGTAGGGACAGCTGCCTAGTATACATAATGTACCAAAATAAATAATTTATGTTCTATATTATAAAAATTGTAAGTAATTAAGGAAAAGATTTAACCTGAATTCATAAGTTTCCAGAGTTGATCGACCAAAGCTTCATTGCATAAAGGAGATTCCATGTTCTTGGTAAATGGTGGATTCTTTGTCAACATGTTTAATATTTTATGTCTAAAAGAAGACAAAAATCAACTTTTAATCCATACACATTCTAACTTGCAGTTTTTTTATTTCTTGCATTTTCTCAAATTTTAGAGCAAGTCCTTATCTTTAATATTATAGAGTCAAACTCACTCATTTGCGTTCACAAAGTTTTATGAAATCACATTCTGTAAATATGCCTAATCTTTAAAAAAAATGAGAAAATCCAATAGGGAAAAGAAACTAAATTGTTCAAAGGTTGTCATTATTCAGGTCATTAGGCATACAGACTTGAACTATTATCTCTCTAGCTTAAAATCATCAAGCAAAACATTCAAGTGTATCATTTATCATCTTTGTTGGCAAATACAAACCAGAAACCAAGTACGGTAATATTTTTTTAGTATCCACTTAGAATGATTACTTATTCTGCTCAGAATACACTGTGAGTTGTATGAATTTAAAGGAAAAAAATTATAGGAAAAAATAATAAAGATGAATTTCTATCCTCAAACAACAGAAAGATCTGTCATGCTATATTTTTCAAACTAGTTGAATATGGGCCATTGTTATGAAAAACAGCAAAACTTATTATTTTTTCATCAGTTTTAGGATTTTACTTTAAACAATTCTTACTTCATCTTGAAATGGAAAAGGGCTGCTGTCTTGTTAATTATCTATAATTTAAAACTGAAACTGATAATCTAAACTTATTGACTCAAGCAGTAACAATCTGAATACTACGGCTATAAACTATATTCATATAACACGTGTGAATATAACTTCGTTTAAGACATAGAGCAAGGGTCTTCAAACTTGGCAAGTTTAAGACTTGTGGACTTCAACTCCCAGAATTCCTGAACTAACATGACTGGAGGAGGAATTCTGGGAATTGAAGTCCACACATCTTAAAAATCTCAAGTTTGAAGACCCCTGACATAGTGTCTTGTTTTATACAAACTGATCAATATAATTTAGTCTGGCATGTTGTATGAACTTAGTTATGACTTCAGGATAATGCCGATGTCTTGAGAAACTAAGATGCCTTACAAATCTTTACTCCTGAAAATGGGACTATGGCAAACAGAACCCTATATTTTTTTTCTCCAAGGAAAGAAAACAAATCAGCACATTATATTTTCTAAAAAGAAAAAAGGCAAAATCTTTTGAGATATATAAACCAAAATATTCTTTTTTTAACCAGATGGCTAAAAATGAGCTATTGGAAAAAGCAACTTTACATTTAGGATATTTACATGTAAAATAAATAAAAAATCCTGCAATGTTGCTCCCCAAGAAAAGGCTAACCTGACATAGGGCACTGGATCATTCTGGACCATGTTTAGCAGCCACTGCAATTCCTCATAACTTCGGTCAACTATAAGAATAAAAATATGTCCTGTTAAACAAGATGGTCAATCTCACTCATCAAAAGAAATTAGAAAGAGTTCTTGGAGAAGAGGAAAGAAGCTTACTTAAAAAATTTTTTTTTTTTTTTGAGAACAGGCATTATGCTGATGACAGCCAGCAAATGACAGAGAAGCTTCGTTTTTCCAACTTACTATACAAGTGTTTACAAGTTTGAGAACCTTTTGAATGTACAATATTTCTGGGCAAATGTGGTCTAAAATGCAGTTATGAAACAAATGTGATGTTCCAGACTCATTTGTATAATTGGCTTCTCTTTATCTAGTTTTGGGACTTATGTGGAGAACAGATCATGTTCTAGACCAGTGGTCCCCAACCTTTTTGGGCAACAGGGACCGGTTCATGGAGAAAGCTTTTTCCATGGAACGGAGGGGATGTGGTTTTGCGTGCTGGCTGCATACTGTAGATGGGGCTTTGCTTGTTGGTGTGGCCCAGTTGCTGGTATGCCGCGGACCAGTTCCAGTCCACAGACTGGGAATTGCGGATTCTTGTTCTAGATCTTATTTATGCAGAAAGACTGAAAATTCAAGAGTTTACAAATGTCTATGGAGATGTTCAGTCATCCAGATCGTGGTTGTCCCCAAAGTGCTTTTTTTCAGGAGGCAACTGGACTTTCTTTGAAGACGTTTTGCTTCTCAACCAAGAAGCTTCTTCAGCTCTGACTGGATTCTTCCCAGTCCCCACCATCCAATCAGAGCTGAAGAAGCTTCTTGGCTGAGAAGCGAAACGTCTTCAAAGAAAAAACAAGAAAGTCCAGTTGCCTCTTGAAAAAAGCAACTTTGGGACAAGAGTTTACAAACTTTTAAGCAGCACAGTGAAATCTATAAAATTGCAGGAAGAGGTTATTTTCTCCATAGGCTGCCTGATTAACCTAGGGAATAGGATAAAAGAGACATCCTTCCCTGAACATACTGGGACTGCAGAGAGTCACAAAATTCCTGAAGGGCTGATGCGCTGCCTCTATGCATTACAATACAAATACACTGTCAAAAGAACATAAAAGAAATCTGGGAGCTGCTTTTGTTAAAACACACACACACACACACACACACACACACACACACACAAAACCACATTATCTTCCCCACCTTTTGTATAGTCAACAACCGCTTCCAAAGCTGCTATTCGAATATCTACAAAATGGCCATATTCTGCATAAGATTTAAAGACAGCAGGATCGCTTGGAACATGTCCGTTTTTCTGCAGGATCCGAATTGCATTTAAACAGCTGTGAAGGAAAGACACAGGGGAAAAAGAAAACAGCTGTAAAATCCAAATTTATAGCCACTGGAAATAAAAGAAACAAAAACATATTTTGGCCTGATCAAAACAAACCGAAGAGTATCATAATTTCTGAACTATGGAAAATTCATTGTAGGTAGTTCTCAGTTTACAATGGCAATCAGTACCGGAATTTTTGTCACTAAGCAATAAAGCACAGCTGCATTGTTTAGCTTAGCAGTGGTCCTGATTGTTGTCATTAATCAAATCCCACAATCATTAGGCAAGGCAGCTTTCTGCCGGGTTCCTACAACCAAAGTCAACGGGGAAACTGTTGGGAAGTTGCAAGTGCCAGGCCAGCAGGGGAATAAGTGGTTGCTGCGGGGTGGCGAGGGAGCAAGGGGATATTCAGAAATGGAGGACTGTGCACAGAAGTACAAAGCAGGGTGTGAGGAAGTGTGTAAGAGCACAAGTGGCGCAAGTCAGGGTATGAGAGGCAGGGTGGGGCTCCTGGGTCTAACGAGGCGAACAAGAGATGCAGAATGGGTTGGGTGTGCACAAGAAGTGCAGAACATGACAGGCGTGCGAGGAGATGTGCAAGAGGCGTGGCATGGGTTGGGCACATGTGAGGGGCGTGTATGAAAGGCCAGTGTGGTATGGGTGCCAAGAGACTGGGGGGAGAATGCACGGATGGGGAAGACTTACCCCAGCAACTTACAATCTACCTTCCCTTTTGACTTTCTGGGAACGCCAGCAGGAAAGATTGAAAATAGTGACCAGATCATCAGGCAGGCTACAACTGGTCATAAGCATAATCTGCCAATCACCCAGATCCCAATCACATGACCACGAGGGTGCTGGTATAGCCAGAACTCCGAGGACCAACCATAACCAACATTCGTTCAGCGTTGTCCTAGCTTCAAAAAGTTGCGGAATGGTCCTAGGTCAATGACTACCTATAATTAATTCTTCAAATTGTGCTTAGTATAATCTTACAGAAGTGTGATGTCAATCAAAAGAAGACTGCTGAAACTTATTGAGAAACATAAAAGCAATTTAACATTTTCACAGTGTTATCCAATACAGCATAGACTCATCTATAGTACGAAAACCCTTGTAAACAAATTATGGAAATAACCCTATATCAAGAATCTTAGCACCTGTGGCTTTGTATTTTTCTCTTTTCTCTTTCTGTCCCCATGCAGGAGATTCCCCTCCTGATTTAAGCTTGTCAAGACACTGTTCTGTGACACAAACAGTATGGGCTGAAACTTGTTTTACAACGGTATAGACCTCTACTTAAAACATCCTTAACTGACTGTCATAAATATTTCTGTATCCTACCTGACTGTAATTGTGTGTCTGTAACTGGGTAGCAGTTTTTCCATGTTTAAGAATCGGGTGATCTCCTCAAGAATAAGGCGCACATCAGGATTTAAATTGTCCAAAGTCCGGGCTTCATTGTTCACGCTGACTGCAGGAGTTACAGAGTTTGCTAACGCATCAATCAGTTCCGCACGATAATAGTTGTCTGAAAACTAAAGTCAAAGAGTTAAATTTATTAAGATGCAGTGCAGAGTATTACAAAGGACACATTCCATTAAACTGGCTGCTCTAAAATCAAAGAAAGGAGCTATCAGCACAAATAAACCCCAATGTCCAAATTGGATTTATGCACAAAGAAACTGCTTGTGGGGCTGAACCCAAAGAACTTACTTACTTGTTTTATACCCCTATATCCCTGGAATTGGCTGACACTAAAAATGCATGCAGCAGAAAGTCGCAACGATTTTACGCCAACAGTGAAATGCAACAAGACAGAGCTTTAAATCAGAGGTCTCCAAACTTGGCAACTTTAAGACTTGTCTTAAAAGCTGTCAAGTTTGAGGACCTCTGCTTTAAATAGTAACACTAGTTCATTTGAACTAGCAGTTACAAAGATAAAAAACAACCTTAAAGCTTTACAAATAAGAAAGGCGTCAACTAAGGGATATAAAAAAGGAAACCTTTCCCCAAAGAACATTCAATAGGTTTCGCACACTGCTTATAAAAACACATGCCTACCATCTTTTCAAACTTCTCCAGAAATCTCTAACCTGGACAGTGCAGATCCTGTTTAAATTGTGAACCAATCCTGAAGCTTTCCCACCCCTAAATAATTTGGCTGAAGACTTGGGCACCCCTCCTTATTTTTTCTGTCTTGTATTTACAACTTATTGTTTCTTGCATTCATACCTTTGGCAATGCTCCGCAACATACACAAATACCCAGGAACTTTCCAAAGAACTCCTTTCATTCTTTAAACAACCAAATATTTCATTGCTTTCAATCTTGAATCTAGTCCCCAATTTTAACTCTTGAAGTTATTTAAATATCCTTGACTTTGGACACCAAGTGCCAAAGTCAAGGATATTTTTAGCCATGGAACCCATTGTGGAAACTTCCTAATGTGTAAATCTAAGAATCAGGTGTTTTGGATCTCAAATCCCTTACTAGTTATCTTTATCATCTACTTGTCCTGTCTTAGTGTCTAAACTTTGTACTTGTCCTATAACATAAAATCAATGGAGCCACGAATTAAAAAAAAAAGGCTGTTAATTTAGACAACTTACAACCTTGTTTTTTCTGTTGTCATTGTACTTGATCAGGTCTAAAATGAACATTAAAACCTCTTTAGGACACAGATTGTGAACATCTCTCAGCAAGGCCATTGCAACTGGCATTGTCTGTGGGGGGAAAAACACAAAAGCCTAACTAGTAATTGCTTCAGTTCAAATTTTAGTTAAATCATAAGATTGTACAACTTCATTCCGCCTTCCACATGGTATCCTCTATTTAATTTCACTCCCCAATAGTAAGGTTAGTGTTACACAAAATCCCCGAATAAAATTACTCCTGTGGCTCTATAGTCCCCCATTCTGAAGAAGCGGAGGTGTGAGACTTCATTTAAAAATTGATTTGCAGCATCAGAGCAGATTCTTCGTTGAGTGCACTATTTACCAATAAGTAGCTAGGCAGATGGATTGCTATCTCCTGATGAACAAAATGGTTTTGGAAACGGAAGTTTTGTAAACCTTTTATGGCTTTTTTTCCTGGTATTTGTTCAATTTGTACAATTGAACATTTGTATTGCTAAATGAAATGTATTAACGAAATTGTACAGGGTACAAATATAGCAATATATCCCATCCATACTTCCCAACTGATTAACAGCAGGAAATGATAAAGGCCACTAACCATGCAATTAAGCATGGTATGAGAATATACCAAATTAGACAAGCACAAAGAGATTGGATACAACCACAGACAAGTTGTCCAAACATATCTAATTAAATTTATTTCTGCTTACCTTTGGGCAGAACAATTTAATAAATCAACAATTACCATTTTTCCAATGGATATTTTGTTCTTCTTTGCAAAGAAATGCTACCCCTAACGATGATAACAAATGTATCAAATAACAGCAACTGCTTTTGTTTTTTCCTCTTATTATTCAAATCCATTATTGAACCAACCTCAACTGTGGAAAGCTGTTGAGTTTAGAAAATCAAGTAAGATGATAAACTGCTTTTTTTTTTTTACCTTTTGCAGAAAGTAGCTCTGAAAGTTCATGAAGTTATTGGTTTTCACAATATTTGGACAACTTTTACAACAGAACATTCGAGTGAAGAGAGACTTCATGGCTGGTGGTCCTGTCCATGTACTCACCATGAAATTTGCAATCTGTATAATTAGGAGAGAAAAAAAGAAGCCACATTACTAACAACGTTGCAAAGTTTGGTCTATTGCTACCTCTAAGTGCCAACTTCTCTTTTCATCGTATTTTATTTCCAGCTTGTGGGAAAAAGGAAAAAAAATAGAGGTTTCTCTAAATGAATATCCCTTATTGTTTAAAGGGTTTAGCCTTTCAATTAGCATTTTTCATATCTTCCCACTCTCACATTTGCCTGCTAAATGATTCTTATATATCTGACATGGAATTCTTGAACATGATGGGCAGGGAAGCGGGAGAGGTTGTGCTGTACATTAAAAGTACTGATATCACAAAGGTGTTTTTTAAAGAGGCAACTGGACTTTCTGAAGACGTTTCGTTTCTGTTCCAAGAAACTTCTTCAGCTCTGACTCCTTGCCATCCAGTCAGAGCTGAAGAAGCTTCTTGGATGAGAAGTGAAACATCTTCCAAGAAAAACCAGAAAGTCCAGGTGCCTCTTGAAAAAGCACCGTTGGGACAACCATGACCTGGATGAGTGAGAATCTCCGTAGACCTAAAGCACTGATGCATGCAAAAGGTTTTGCATTTATGTATGAAATCACCAAGAATGTAGTAGTCTCAAAGGTGTTTTTTTTCCAAAAGGCAACTGGACTGTTTTTTTTCCTTGAGGAAAAAGAAGACATTTCATTTTCATCGAAGAAACTTCATTGTTTCTGGCAGGATGGTGGGGAACTATGGAAGGATTAATTCTGACAGGATTGGGGTGGGGCAGTCCAATCTCTTCTTGAAAGTCTCAAGTGATGAAGCTCCCACCACTTCTGAAGGCAAGTTGTTCCACTGATAGATTCCTCTCACTGTCAGAAAATTTCTCCTTATTTCCAGGTTAAATCTCTCCTTGTTCAGTTTCCATCCATTATTCCTTGTCTGGCCTACAAGTGCTATGGGGGGGGTCTTCTTCTTCTTCCTCTCCTCCTTCTCCTTCTCGTTCTTCCCCTCCTCCTCTTCCTTGTCTTCTTGCTCTTCTTCCTCATCCTCTTCTTCTTCCTCCTCCTCCTCCTCTTCCTCAGAAAAATACAGTCCAGCTGCCTTTTGAAAAAAGCACCTTTGAGACTACTACATTCTTGGTGATTGCCTACATAAATGCAACTCATGGCTGGCAGCTTCTTTGTCATTTCAAATATTGTCACTGAGTAATCTTTTTTTGAACATAATTTGCAAACCAAATCTATGAATACACTACTTAAAGCATGGATAGTTTCTCACCGAAATCTTGGACTTACAATCACTCATTTAGTGACTGTTCAAAGTTACAACAGCACTGAAAAAGGTGATTTATGACCATTTTTCACACTTAACGACCACTGCAGCATCCCCATAGTCACGTGATCAAAATCTTGGCAGAGTCCCGAGCTCATGTGATCAGCTTTTGTGATTTTTCTCACAAGCAAAGTTAATGGGGAAGCCAGATTCACTTAACAACCATGTTATTACATTAACAATTGCAGTGATTAACTTAGCAACTATGGCAAAGTGGGCTCCATTGGGGTCATAAGGCAAGGACTGCCTGTAATGTAAATACATTATAACCTCAGTTGATACTTCAGTCAAGGGGAGAGTTTCTACCTGTGGATCATATGTCATTGATCATTTCCCACAATCAATATCTGGATGTAATTATTTTCCTCACATCTATGTTTCAGTAATGCCCTCCCCACTGTACAAAAGCCACATATTCAATCTTGAATATGAAAAGAAGCTAGTCATGGAAGAGGCATCAGCATTACTGATTTCCTCAACATATCCTGCCAATAACCTCAATGAAAATTTCAACCATGCCTCTGCCACCCGGGGAGTTACAGGATCACCCACGAAGAAAGACAATTTGGAATTCAGGATCCTTCCTCCAGTTCCAGATGGAAAACAGACATGGCAGGAAAGCACAGTTAACAGCTGGTCTATTTGCCCCAAAATTCTCTACCAGGACAACCGTTTTAGCGGCTAGTGAATGACTGAAACCTACTCTATTTGAGAACAGAGGACAGTACTGAACGCAAAAGGATTTCTTTAAGCAAAACCTCACCCCAAAAGGTAGCAAAGTAATCCTTTTACTTAATGACAAAAAGGAGGTTATAGCCAGACAGTTGTGTTAAAGTATCTTCCTCTAGTGGGTCAGTTGGCAAACTTCACTGTCGATTCCTATTGTACCCTAATAGTACATCAGATAGTGATGTTGCCCTTTGTGTTTTAATGCCAGTCAAAAGATGGGTGGATTCCCCTGGCTTTGCTTCCTTTCCAACTAAGGTGTCATGCCCCTGTTGGAGACTGACTCTGAGGGAGAGGAGGAACAGCCAACAGGGAGTGGAAGTATGACTCCAGAAGCTGTGGAGGAGGCTGGGGAAGGGCAGAGGCCGGCTGGGCAGTCAGAGGAGGACCCAGGCCCATCCCCTCTCTATTCTTTTTTTTTTTCTTTTGTAAATTTTATTTGAGTTTTCACAAAGAGAAAAAAAATACAAACAAAACATCTTTTTTGAAAGCAGCATAATCCCGGGTTACATTTCTTCGTACAGACACAAATTCAGGTTCATGCTCATTTTTATATTCTATTCCATATCTTATTACTATTTTACATTTTCTGCATAGCTTCTCCCCTCTTTTAATTTTCTCAATTTTATTTTAATTATCTCATCTCAATTCAAATCATTGTATTTATATTTTTTGTCTGTCCTATTTCAGTTATCTATTATCTTTTCTCATTAAACAAAATGTCTCCTGTAGTTACTGGTTGGAGTATGATGCCTTTGTATCTTTTAAGTTTATCCATTTAACTCTTATTTAGGCTTCAATATATACCCTAAAGTTATAACATTCAATATAATACATAACTTCCATTCGGATTCTGCTTGGTACATTCTTAAAATACACACTATATTCTTAAAAAAAGAAAAAATTATAAATGTATGTAATTAAAACAACACATTCCATTCCAATTCAATTCTATCATTAATATTAATATTCATTAAAGTCTTAACTTCTTTAACATTACTTTTCAATTAAATATCATACTTCTATGGGAACAATTATAAGCTTTCCATAATTAATCCCCCCCCCCTTCACTTATATTTTATAAAACACTAACTAATTAAAATGTTCCCGTTCCTTCCTAATTCAATTTTCTCATTTATTTTATTTCACTTATTTTATTAACAAACATTTCACTAAATTACACTAACTATTTTATCCCTCATTTTAATCATACATTCTTTCCAATTTTCTAAAGTTATTTCTATTACTAATATAACAATACAATCTTATGTACCTTTACAGAATCCCTTTTTCAGTTAGATTTTCACCCATTATCTCTAAATAGGTCCTGTTTCTCTATATCTTGCTCCGGTCCTTTGTAACTTCTTTTCCTTTCCTTCTTCCCTTTCTTCTTCTTCTCTCCCCTTTTTACCCACTTGTCTCTCTACCTCTATTTCTCTCTTCTGTATTCCCCTTTTCTGTTGCTTTCCAGTATTATACTTATTTTTTGAATTATTTTTCTTTTCTTTGGTTGTTTTTTTAAGTCTTAAATTCTCCATTCTCTTTCCCCGCTTTCCTTTTTCTTCCCCACATAAAATTACTTGCTCATTAAAGATGGCTTCTTCTTTGTCCCAGTCTTCTTGTTTTGCAGATGTTTCTTGTTGTTTCTCATAGTTCCAAATCTCCATTTCTAAGAATTGAAAAACGAAGCCAAAAGAACCCTTCCCTTCTTGTGCATCTTCTTTGTACTTTATAAGTTCCATTTTCAATTCATCAAGAAGTGGTGCCATTGTATAAATTTTTAAACAAACACCCGATTAATTTTAGTCATTCAAATGTAATAACCAAGAATCCAAAGATCACCAAATAATCCAAATACATGCAAGCTGTTTCTTTTTGCTCTTTTTTTTTCACTTTCTCTTCCTGGGGTTACTGTTTAGTTACAAAGTTCTGATTTGAAGTCTCTTCGGCGACAGACAGAAATCTGTGATCGTGTGCGGTTTCGGTCTGGGCTTGCCGCTGGAGCGCCCTGAGCCAGCTGGTTTCGGGGCTAAGCCACCCTGTAGAGTTGGTGAAGAGGGGGGAGACCGCCAGCAGGGTCGAGGAGAGCAGCATCTCTCCTCCTCAGCTCACCATTACTCCCTTTCCCGAAGGCGGTTGCAGAGGTGGTCAGAAATGGCCACCACAAAGAAGAATTCGACCAGAAAAGAATGTGCAGGAGGAAGATAAGAAGTGACAGTTTTGGCTGACCGGGTTAAATTGTAAAAGCAACAACTAAGGTACTCTGGAATTTAAACTTACAAAAAATAACATCGCTCCCAAAGAAGAGTCGGAAGCAGCGAAGGAAAGGGAAAGGGAAAGGTTTGGCTTTTTTTTCTTCTCCCTCCTTCCCTATACTGACAACTAAGAGACTTAAATAAGAAATTGGAAAAATCCGCTTTGACATGAATAGGCAATTAAACTGAAAATAAAACAAAATGCCAAAGGGATAATAAAGATTTCTGGACACTAATTTTTTTTTTCATAAGCAGGAAGGGAAAGAAAAAGAATAAGGGCAGGATCTGGAAGAGGGAGGAGACTGCCTGGAATTAAAAAGAATCTACAGTAAAACTTCAACAAGACTTCTAAAAGATACATTTTAACCATCCCCTCTCCATTCTAAGGCACGCAGGGAAGAGAGGATAAGGAAGAGACATGGTCTACTCGGGAGGAAAGGGCCTTGATCCTCTTCATGGGCTGCAGCTGTGACAACTGAATAAGAGGACGGACATGCGTATTTGCTGGAAACAAAGCGTGGAAATATCTCTAGTTTATGGTTCCTCTCTAAGTTTTTGGCTGACAATACAAGGCTATGGCAGCACGGCTGTAGGTGCTGTGGTTGGTAGCCCATGAAGCAGGCAAGAATGGTTCCCAGAGATGTCACCAGGCGAGGAGAGTCAAAAACGTGAAGAAGACAGCCAGGAGATTGTGGCCGCCATCTTGATTTTGTTTTGAGTCCTGTAGATTATTCATGATAGCGCTCCTTCTCCAAAGAAAGAAAGAAAAAAGTAAAAAGTACTGGCACGTGAAAGAAAAAACTTGCAGTATGGATGGTCCTCATCTTATGACCATAATTGAGCTCAACATTTCTGTTGCTAAGTGAAACAGTTGTTAAGTGAGTTTTGCGCCATTTTTGCCCCCTTTTCTTCTTACAGTTGCTAAGTGAATTACTGCAGTTGCTAAGTTAGTAAGATGGTTGTTAAGTGAATCTGGCTTCCCCTGTTGACTCTGCTTGTCACAAAAGGGGATTGCATGACCTCGGGGGAATGCAACCGTCATACATACATGCCAGTTGCCAAGCGGCAAAATTTTGATCATGTGACCACGGGCGCCCTGCAACGGTCGTCAGTGTGAAAATGGTTATACACTAATTTCCTAAGTGCCACTGTAACTTGACATGGCCACCAAACCAATGGTTGTTCAGTCTAGGACTGCTTGTAGAATCAACCTTAACAGTAGCCAATGGTTCCAAAAGGGTCAATGCCAAAATAACTCGATCTCAGAGGCTTCAAATGAAGTGGCAAGATGAGGAACAGAGTATTATAGAAGCATGATAGTGCCAGGGGTGGGCTTCAATTTTTTTTACTACCAGTTCTGTGGGCGTGGCTTGGTAGGCATGGTGTAGCTTGGTGGGCGTGGCAGGGGAAGGATACTGTAAAATCTCCATTCCCACCCCATTCCTGGGGGAAGGTTACCGCCGGTTCTCCAAACTACTCAAAATTTCCACTACCGGTTCTCCAGAACTGGTCAGAACCTGCTGAATACCACCTCTAGATAGTACTGAATTAAACAAAAGACCATAGAATTTGCTTGGGTACTTCATATTCACCTTTGCTCCAATTTCAGTTAACTAGTGGGCACTTTATATGTACTCAAGCCACAATGTGGATACTTTTTAAACTAAGCATTTTTAAAAAACTTTAAAAATTAAGAATAGCTGATATCTTGCAGAATGATGCAGAAGAACAGAAATTTTTTTCTAATTTCTCTCTCTCTGGCCATTTCTTTTTTCTTTTTTTTTCCCCTATTTTGACAGTGAGCTGATGCCATCTAGTGGTATTTGAATATAACAATACCCAGGGACCTTACATGAAACACTGATCTATGTATGGTTTTCAAAGTAATGACAGATGGGTAAAAGAGAAAAAAAAAACCTGGTTTTCTGAAGCTGCATCCCACCTCACCTTTAGCAGGCTGCTCAGATTTAAAAGAACCTGCATTAGTATCTGATAGAGCCAGTTGGCCACTTCTTACCTTTGCAAGACAGAAGCAGGCCATTATCCTCACTCGGTAGAAGCATTGCTCTTGTTCGAGAATATCGGTCAGCGCAAGCCGGGATGCCGGCGTGGGGAACTTCTGAAGAGCCAAAATGGATTCCTCTTGCGCAACCACGTCTCTCTCGTAGCGGAGTTGGTATTGCCACATGAAGTCCGTCTGTTCAAATTCTACCTTCCTCAAAACGGACATATCTGGATCTATTCTTATCCATAGTAAAGGGGAATCAGCACTGGGAGAAGTGGATCAAAACTTAGGTCAGGGCAGCAAACTAATTGAATAATATCATTTTTTTTTTTGATTGTGGCATCTCTGATATTTTCACCATGAAAATTGGTAGCCCATTCAGGATAGTGAGTTCTGTGCTTAATAAATCTTTTATCTGGAACACAATTTTTAGTGCAAAGAACATTGCAACTCTACAATTGATATACTTGAAAATAATCTCAAGCAAACATAGAAGAAAAATTCTATATTGTCTCATTTCCAGTTCCTACTGATTGCTTGGTGTATTATATGGCGTCAAATTTTTCCAATATGAGCTCTCTGGAGAATAACAAAGAAACTACTCACTCTGGTCATTTACAATATAAACTAAGTCATAACTTCATACACAAATTTTGGGGCTGTCATAATTCAAGTATACAATATTAGGATTTGGCAACTGAGGAACAGCTCATGACTTACATATTTTTCCTCCTCTCTCTCAGGCTTTCTTCTTTATATTCTGGTTTTCCAGTACCTATTGATTGCCGTGACATTGAAACTAACAAGCTACAATTCAATTCTTTAACTTTTAAATCATGCTTTGCAAATACACTTAAAAATGCTGTTTAGAAGTTTCAGCTTGCTAATTCCAGAGTCATACAAAATATGGTTAACAAAAACTAAGATCAGAAAGGATCGCCCACAACACTGAAGTGTGATTTTAAAAGTATTACTGAGCAATTTCTCTCCCTCTCTGCCAAACAATACTTTTAGGGTATTAATTTTATAAAATAGGAAAGGTTATACATTTCATATGGCAGGCTTATTTCCTGCTTCTTAGGTTATTATATGAAGATGTTTAGGGAGGTAATTATTTCATGCCACATAACAAAATTTAACAAAGTTCCTAGACATTTTGAACACCTCAATTTCTATTTCTGTGAGCACCATTACAAAACAGTTCCTGGTCCTCCAAACTACAGAGTATTCCAAAGTTCCTGTATTCTGAACACTCCCTTCAATACAGAGGTGTCAGAATGCATAATCAGAGTCCCTGCACTAATGATTATGAGCCTCGGTGGCTCAGTGGCTGGAGTGCAGTACTGCAGGCTACTTCTGCTGATTGCCGGCTGCCTGCAGTTTGGCCATTCAAATCTTACCAGGCTCAAGGTTGACTTAGCCTTCCATCCTTCCGAGGTGGGTAAAATGAGGACTCAAATTATTGGGGGCAAGATGCTAACTCTGTAAACTGCTTAGAGAAGGCTGTAAAGCACTGTGAAGTAGTATATAAGTCTAAGTGCTATTGCTATTGCTAGTAGTACTTTTTTTTTTTGATATTTGGATCAATTGCAAACTGAGTCAACCTTGAGCCAGTGAGACTTGAACTGCTGGCAACCAGCAGTCAGCAGAAGTAGCTTGCAGTACTGCATTCTAGCCACTGTACCACCACAGCTCAATATTCTATTATGTATTTGAAAATGCTGTATGGAGAAGATTTCGAAAAGCTTTGTACCTTTCATAAGTTTACTTACTCCATGGCGGAAAGATCCATGTCCACTTCCTCTCCATTCATCAAAGGAATTTTTTTCTTCTTATTGCTGCATAAAAACCAAGAGATGCATAGTAAAATCATATTTTTGTCTTTTTCTTTGGTGTAAAAATAAAAGAAGTAGTCATGGTTACACAAAGGAAAGAGCAGCTTATGATTAGGTTGTCAATCAAACAGGGTATTCTGATATATTTTTGCTGATTCTTATTTCTGTGGCAATTGTTTATTTTTTCTCCCTACTTCCTTGTATAGTTGCCTTTTTTTTTTCCAATAGCTTTAATTAGGCTGCAAATAGTTCATACCAGTTTATACTGTCTGGATACCCAGAATACTGTTTTATAACCTTTTGATCTCCGAAAGGGAGACAGAAGTGCATATTAGTGACCAACACCTTCTTACAACTAAGATTCTTTGAGTTGTTAAGAGTAGCTGAGTGGAGTATATACAATCGAGCCTCGGGTCGTGACCGTAATCCATTCCCAGCCTCTGGTTGTGACTGAATTTGGTCGTGTCCAGAAGCACGACTGACTGTGCATGCGCACAGTAAAAAAAAAAAATGGCACCGAAGAGGAAATCAGCGCAGAAAGGGAATCTTTTTGCAGTGAGTTTGTTTGCCACCTGATTCAAATTGGGTGGATTTTTTGTCAGGCACCCGATTTGATCGCAAACAGGAGCATTTGCGACCCGAGGTTCCACTGTATATATATATTGCTGAAACAATGTCAGAAGACCCGGATCAAACTGTAGACATCAAAACGTTCACGTTTGTATTCCTCACGCGAAGACTAGTTTTTCATACTGCCCTGTTGATACTGGACAAGGCGGCATCACCGGTTTTGAGACTTTTAATCAAACATGCCTAATAACAACAAAATCATTAAAAACAATTTATGGCAGTCACTTCAGATAGGCATTTTATAAGGAAATTCCACAGATGGTAAGTAAAAGCCCTACCGTCTGCTCTTTGAATGACAGGGTATATCATGTTTGAGGCTGTTTTCTTCTATTTGAAGCGTGTGGTTGAAAGACCCATCAAGCTCCTGCACTGTCACTTTGAGGGGACCCTTGAAAAAAATGTATCATTATCAAGCACCAGCAGTCACAATGATCTATGATAGTCTGAGTTGCGTTTTGCACTGATACCCTCCTCACCTTCACAGAGGAGGCTGAAGAAACTGACTCTGTCATTGTCACTTAAGCGTGCGTTAAAGATAAACAGAGGTTTGAATATGACCATGTTTACTGCGCAATACTGAATCCCCTATTTAATATATTTACCCTGTCAGCTATTTCTTGCTGAAGAAAACTTTTATTATTTTACATATTAGCCCCATTATTTTACATATCAAAAGGCAGGCTTTTAACTCATATTTTTTTACATTCAAAACATACATGAAATGACCAGAGGTTAAATGAATTCAACATTTACGCCTACATTTTTATTTCGGTACTGACCAAGGTTTAGCTGAAGGTAACTGAAAGAATTATATTTCAAATTTTATTTACAGCCAAAAGCTCCAAAAAGAAATTACAGATAAATCTTAATCTTGGCATTAGATAAAACAGCTTAACAAGTAAAATCCAAATGAGGGAAAGTATGTAAAAAATTTACTTGCAGATAAAAATCCCAAGACTGCAGTGCCCAGATTTTTAACTATGGCTATAAAAACGGGATTTTTAGTAACAAATCAATGAGTTGCAGTTTTATTTATTAACTGTTTTACTTGTAAAAACGTTTTATCTAATACCAAGTTTAGATTATATTTGTAACTTGCTTTTGGGCCTCTAGGCTATAAATAAAATTAAAAGCATTATATAAAACCTGGATAAAATCCAGTGTAACACATGCAGCATTCTTCTCATGCAAAGAAATGTTCAACTGAGGTTTTTTTCCTTGTTCCCTGAACCAGGGGTCCCCAGCCCCAGGGCTGCAGAATGGAGGAACGCCAAGAACTAAGCCGTGTGAGTGAAGCCCCGTCCGCGCATGCACAAGATCTGGGTAGCACACGAAACCACACCCCTCCCCCGGAAAAACCATCCTCCACAGAATTGGTCCCTGGCGCTGTAAAGATTGGGGGCCGCTGCACTAATATGTCCTCGGCCTACACACATTCATTCAGGATTGTTCAAAATTATGGTGGCACTGAAAAAATGGACACACGACAGATCCTTAAGACCATTACAGCAAACCACGGACACCTGATTACCATTTGTGACCTTCCTGCCAGCTTTCCGCAAGCAAAGTCAATGGGAAAGCTGGCAGGGTAGGTCTCATGTCACCTTGGTTACGTCACTCTTGTTTTTTTCCTCACTACCAGCACTCCCCACTGGCCAGAGGTGGTATTCATCAGGTTCTGACCAGTTCTGGAGAACTGGTAGTGGAAATTTGGAGTAGTTCAATGAACCGGCAAATACCACCTGACTGGCCCAGCCCCCATCTATTCTCTGACACCCGAGTCCCAGCTGATTGGCTGGGTCTTCTTTTGTTTTCCTGCACAGGAGAAAGGAGCTGGAAAGCAGGTTAGTGGGGTAGGGAGGGAATGGGGATTTTGCAGTAACCTTACCCCAGGAGAGGGGAGGGAATGCCCCGCCCATCAAACCACACCCACCAAGAACCGGTAGTAAAAAAATTTGAATCCCGCCACTGCCACTGGCCCTCCCAAGTTCTCACCACCCCACCTTCACACACATACACATATACATATACATACACACACACACACTGCATGGCGTTCCTGCATGTCTTACTTGGGATTTCCACCTTATCCAGAGTTTATGGCAGCAACCGGGACTGCCGAGACTGCCATCACCATATGATCGTGTCACATAGCATCACATTTTACAACCATGTTATTTGGTGACAACAAGCACGGTCCCAATTGCTGTCATAAGGCAAGGACGACCTGTATCCTTGACTCTAGAGCATACCTGGAGTGGTGCTATAGAAAAGAAAGTGAAAATATTTCACAGGATAGGGGGAAAAAAGGGATATAGGTTTAGATCTTAATAAATGAAAATAATACTCAACTTTCATTAACAAGAGACAAAAGAAGCATTTAAATTAAATGGGGGCCATGATTCTGCAGAAAGGGTTCGGGCTAATAAAATAACTACTAAATTTAATAGAAGTTAACTTAATACAAAAGGAACTATAATGCAATATTTAAGTATTTTGAGAGATTTATTAAGGAAAAAAGGGTCAAAAAGTAAACTTACCACATATTTCTGTGTCCCAGGAGAGGTATAGTCTTGCTTTATTTCTAATTCGAGTACATTTCGTTTTCGATTAAATGCAAAACTGCCATAAAATTTGACCACACTGTTTTGATCTCTGCAAAAACTCAATAGGAAAAAATGACCCTGGTCTCTTAAGCTTCTAGACTTAACTGCAATGCACAAGTTTTGCTTATTTAGGGTTTGAAAGAGCTAGTCTTCCCTGATGAATGTGTCAGTCATAATCCCAAATTATGAAAACCCATTTTTGCATGCAGACATCTTTGCATTTCAAATGCTAAGTTCTTGTATGAAATCTGAATCTGAGCAGTCCAGATGTAGGTTAATAAAGGAAAGTTAGTTACCATGTACAAGTAGTGCTTGGTTAATTGGGACCAGAATGTCTGTCGCTAAGTGATGCAATTACTAAGTGTGGCGTTATATGACCATGAACACTTAATGACAATAATAATGACCAGAACTAGACACAAGAACAGGTTTTTCCGAATGCCATCATTCTGCTAAACAAATAATTCCCTCAACACTGTCAAACTATTTACTAAGTCTGCATTACTATTACTATTCATCCTTCCTTTCACCCATCTCCACCCAATTATGACTGTATGACTCTAACTTTGCTGCCTGTATCCTTACGGTTTTCATTGGCTGTTTCCTAGTATGATTTGATCATCCTAGTAGATTATTATTAAGTGTTGTACCTTATGATTCTTGACGAATGTATCTTTTCTTTTATGAACACCGAGAGCATATGCACCAAGACAAACTCCTTGTGTGTCCAAGCACACTTGGCCAATAAAGAATTCTATCTATCTAATTCCAGCACTTCCAGTTACCTTTTTTTTTTTTTGAAAAACTAAGTGTGATGTCATGTAGATATCACTAGTGACTCCCTACTGGCTTCCCTATTGATTTGGCTTGTGTGAAGCTGACAAGGCAGGTTGCAAATCGCAATCACATGACCACAGGATACTGTGATGTCATAACTGCAAACTGGTCACCAAGAGGCCAGACTGAGATCACATGACCGAGGAGACCCTATAACAGCAGCAACTATGGATAGTCCTCAACTTACAACCACGACTGAACCCAACATTTCTGTTGTGAGGTGAGATATTCGTTAAGTGAGTTTTGTCCCATTTTACGATCTTTCTAGCCACAGTTGCCGAGCAAATCATTACAGTGGTTAAGTTAGTAACCCAGTTGTTAAGTGAATCTGGCTTCCCCATTGCACGTGAGAAGGTCGCAAAAGTTGTTCATGTGACCCTGAGACACTGCAACCATCATGAATACGAGCTAGTTGCCAAACATTCAAATTTTGATCACATGACCATGGGGTTGTTGTAATGGTCGTGTGAAAAATGGTCATACGTTACTTTTTTCAGGGCTGTTGTAACTTTGAACGGTCACTAAACAGATTGTTCTAAGCTGAGAACTTACAAGGACCAATCGTAAGCAGCATTTGCTCATTGTCCTTGTAACAGTCGCTGAACAACTGGTCATTAATCAAGGACCTGTAAATTACATGCCACTTTCTTCAAGTGCAGATCTTCACATACGGTGAGCCGTTCTCTCCCTCACCTCTTTCCCACAGAACAAAGTGTTTTTGCTCTACATAACACTTAAATATTCTAGAACAGACTTTAAATGAAACCACTGTCTTTCTAGACTGTTGATTCCAAAAAGCATTCTATCAACGGAAAAGTGGCATCTGGGTGCAAATCATCCAAAGGAAAAAAATCAGGCAAATAAGATGAATTGTAGAACTGGCTCGTCGTCTCATTTTGCAAATTTCATTACATTTTGGAGACCTCTCAGGAGTGTTTAGAAAATTAGGCTTGATTAAAAATAATGGACTAATAAATGACAATCTTTGCTGACTCCAGATAATATATTCATAACATAAACTGAACTGAATTTGCTTCAGTTTGCAAATCTCCTTCGAGTACAAGATTTTGAACTGGTTTTGCAACAAAAGTTCAGGATAAGCAATGCACACAAAGGGAAGTGTACACATTCCTTAACAAAGGAATTATCATTTTCAGAATTCCTCTAATCACCTTCTATGGTTTCAGGAAAGGATAAATCAAGGTATACAATAGTTTGGGTGACGTTTCATCATTTCTATACATGATGAAAATGTGAATTGTGCATAAGATGCCCAGAATAATCTTCATTAATTAATGCCTTCCAGGTGTTTTAGATCCCATTTCCCATCAACCCCAAATACAGGTCACCTTTATACCATTACACCTTGTTTAGCAATTGCAATCTAGTCCAGAGACTTGGTTGTTAAGTAAAATGGTCATTAAGTGAACACATGATCAAGAGAAAGGGAGGGAGAGGAAGAGGAAGACAAGGAGGGAGAGGAAGAGAGAAGGAGGGAGAGAAGAGGGAAGAGAGGGGGATAGGGAAGGAGGGAGGGGAGAGAGGGAGAGAGAAGGAGGGAGAGAAGGTGGGAGAAAGGAGGGAGAGAGGGGGATAGGAAAGGAGGGAGGGAGAGTGAGGGCGAGGGAAAGGAGACAGAGAGAGAGGAGGGAGATGGAGAGAGAGGGAAGGAGGGGGAAAGAGGGAGAGGGAAGGAGGGAGGGAGGGAGGGGGAAGGGAGAGAGACTCTATGAAGATCATTCGATGTTGCCATCTCTTTCAGATAAACTTCTTTCAGGCAGCTATACCAGTGATACTCTCTCAGTCTAGCTTGCATTGTTGTCAGGTGCAGAAATTTGGTTTTAAGTGCACACAATTGGTCAGAAAATTATTTTTTTACTACCATTTACTACCGTGTCAATGGTAATTGGGATCAGGAACTCCACCTTACAGCCCTTCATTGTTAGGTGAACCCCTTCATTAGGCATGTCAAATGATTGCCATTTGTGACCTCCTGCCATGAGCCTCTGTGGTGCAGTGGTTAGAGTGCAGTATTGCAGGCTACTTCTGCTGACTGCCGTTGACTGCAATTTGGCAGTTCAAATCTTACCAGGCTCAAGGTTGACTCATCCTTCCAAGGTGGGTACAATGAGGACTCAGATTGTTGGGGGCAATAGGCTGACTCTGTAAACTACTTAAGAGAGGGCTGTAAAGCTCTGTGAAGCGGTATATAAGTCTAAGTGCTATTGGCTTTGTTTACTGGAAGGGGGCAATTAAGGGTGCAAACAGCAATCAAATGGACTTATGGGATTCTGTCACTATTGTAATTGTGAGCTGGTCGCCAAGCGCTTGAATCACAATCATACGATCACAGGGACACTGTGCCAGCTACATCAAGTGCCTGTCATAAATCGGCTCAGTCACCTGTGTTGTAACTTGAACGATTGTTGAATGTTTGTTAGTTGAAGACTACTTGAATTTGTGAGCAGTTGCTTAAAAAAGGAGTCACCAAACAAGGAGTAAGTGGACTGAGATTGACAGAAATTCCGCATTTTAATTATCAAAGATGCTACATTATCAAAAACTATCTGCGGCAGCAAGAATGCTGTTGTATTTAATTTTGTGAACATCCTTGTATTCACAAGGTAAAATCTCCAAACTAAAATATTAAAACTACCAAATAGATTTTGCAAGTTTTAAGATCTGTACCTCTAATTCCATGCAATTAATTTACATAGTGATTTAAATTACTAGTATGCATACTCACAAGTGCGTTGGCATTATGGATATGTTTTCACAATTCAAATCAGAGCATACATTTACCTATGTTGTTTTCATGAATCTGAAATGAACATTTACAAGAATCATTGGGTAATATTATCTTGAATTTCACTAGAGTTCCTCCGTTTTTCAGAAGTGTCATACTCCTTCTAAAATTCCACCACTACCATAAAATATTTCACCATTAAATAAAATCACCACCAAGATGGGATTGATCCTTCCCCCCCCCAAAAAAAACAATTTGAACAATATTACCAAAGACAATTTTTCATATCTTAGATTGTTTGTTTACATTGTCCTAAGAACAGTTGTTTTTCACCTTCGTGTAAATAGCCCAAAGCACAATGGAAAAGGATACACCCACTGCTTAATTAAAGGTTGAATGTCTTTGCCAGACACATTGGAAATGGATTTCAAAAACCCAGATGTAGACACCAGCATTTGACTCCACATATGAGACTGGAACTTCTGGGAAGAAGCGGTGCTAGCAAGACTCAGCAATTTGTTAAAAACCTATGATGAAATTAAGTCAGATTCAGAAAATTGGTCAGTCTCATAAACCTAAATAGGTTTTTAACCTTGAGAAATGCAAATGACAATAATATTAACTATGCACCTTTAAAAAGGGGGCGGGGGGGAATATTCAAGTGTTTGGAAACTGAAAATCACATTTGACTCTTAAACATAGAACCAGACCATTGTTGGGCTGCTGCCTGGTCGGACCAGTTCAGGCGAACCGGGAGTTGTGATCGCTGGCTGGGCCCACCTACCCGCCCCTGCGCTATCCTTCCCATATATAACTAACTTTCTGGCTTGTTCCCCCCATCCACGCTGACCAGTTGAGTTCCGTGCCGTGCCTGCTGTACTCACCGGAGCTGCCTGAGTAGATTAGCTGCATGTTTGATGCTGTGTTTCAGCCCCAAAGAGGCGCTCACAACCAGCAAACCAGTTGTTAACGTAAGTGCAGCCCACCTCTGAACCAGACCAAAGGCATTTGATTTAACTTAACTAAGAATAATTAGCAGGAACGTTTTTTCCTATATTTAATGACTTCTGCAGTAAACCTTGATTCTTTTCTTTTGTACTGTACCTCTGATTTTAAAAAAACTGAAAGTTTAGTACTCCTTTTAAACATTCTATGAAGAACAAAGTGAAGCAGAGAGCATCAGAAACACCAAGTTTCAGTATTTCGTTAAAACAACATTGCTTTTACTTTTTTGAACTAAGCATATCATGTGAATTCAGCTATTGTAAATTACATTTTATGGTTTAACGTTGTGAAAATACAGCCAATAAGTTTATTGAACTCAGGGTTCAATTAAGCCCTTGCTCAAGACACAAATTAAATCAAATCAAGCCACATCTATTGCAAACAATCTCATTATGCCTGCAACTACTTCTTTATGCCTGCATAAAGCTGTTGCTGAAGACAGATTGGTGCCAAAATGAATCCTGTTTACAAATCAGGCATAAACAGTGTCATGCTGGATCAGCCTAATGGGAATGTTCCAGCAGCAGCAAACTTCCTGCCTCTGACAACCCTCAAGAGCTCTCCCGAACTGTTTATCACCATTGCTCATATTTAGATTAATACAGCCTATATTCCAGAATTCCTTTTAGTACATCACTGTTTATAGACTCCACGCCCAATATAAAATAAGAAAAAACAAGCTTCTAAAAGCCTTCAATTTATTTTTAAAACTGTTTCCATGGGAAAATAGAATAGACTCAGTTGTTTACATCAACAAGGAGTTGATGTACAGTGTTGTAAGAGGAGATCTGATTCCCGGCTTCGCTATTGTAGACCAAAAGAGCACATTTGGATGTGTCTACAAAATAATTCAAACAGCAAGGGACTGATTAAAGGGGCAGTCATGTAAAAAAAATAATAATAATGCCCATGATATCTAGATTCAGAGAAAGATGTCAAGGTAGCAGAATACAGTTGCCGGGCTAATGACCTATTTCATGTGTAAGAAATAGAACTATTCAAACAAATATCAATATGGCAAGTATTTTTCAGGATTTAAGTTTTCTCCTGAGTAAACATAAAATGGCAATCCCACAATCTGTTCCCAAAGACAATTTTCATCCATTTGTTTAAATTACAATTATAATGCTTAAGTTAGTGTAATCTCTCTCCCTCCCCGCTCCTTCTCCGTGTCTCTCAGAAATCTTAGCTAGCATCATCTGTGTTTGTAGACTAACTATTTTTCTTAGACAGCTTTATTAACCAACTTCAAACCCTGGTTATGGTCTTATTTAAGCAAAAAATCTCAATGTTTTCTCGTTTGACAGTTCATGTGTCATAAATCTCTCAGCATTCATGGAGAGTATATGTTTGTATAGAATGGAAACTATTTTATAAGTTACAAAGAACTAAAATAAATCATTTTAGCATGTTGTAAGTAGAAAAGAAACAAAACACCAATTTTAAAGGAATTAAATATATTTCAACAGAAAATCCAAATACTTACTTGTAACATAAACTCCATGCTTATTCTATTTTCTATCAGTCTCATAACTAGGTGGGCCTTGCATTGAAACATGGTATAATATTCCCAAGATAATGTGTGAGGATGTTTTATAGAAAAGTGTAAATGGGATGCAGGGCTGGAAAATTAAAGCAGGATAATTTTAATTCATGGTGTATTTTAGATGAAACATCTACTGCAGCTTAGACTATAGCAGAAATAAAAAAGGCAGATATTTTTACTAATTCATGAATTACATAAACATTATAAACATCTAGACTATTCAAAACAGAATTCGTATTATTGCAAACTTTATTCACTTCTGAAGAACTTTTAAGGTAAATGCAGAATGTAAAATCCAAATAATAAATAAAAGATTCACATATGTTTTGGAAAAACCAGTAATTTTCTTTTATGTGAATATTACTAGCATAATGATTCTATGAGCAATTATAAAGAGTGCATTATTATTCCTCTTTATCATCATGCTAAAACTGATGGCTATTCCATAATTCATCTCCAAGTATATGAATTTTATGAAAAATAACATTTGGGAAAAGAATTCTAATCAAGACAGGAGCTGTTAAGATCAATGAATAAAATCGTTTCAGAGATAGCAATCCTATTGTTGACTTTTACAGCAGTATATAAACAAATCACTAGAATTGTAAAATGTTTAAAGCAGCGAACTAATTGTAAACAGCTAGAACAACCCCCTCCCCCAAAAGATATAATATACATTAAATGTATAACTAGCCTTTAAATCTCAAGTCTGATTCTGTGACAAGGGTACTGAAAGACATCAACAATTTTCAGAGGGGTAACTATGTTAGTCTTTTTCAATTAAAATATGAAGCAACTTGTGGGAGCATAAAAAATTAAGAAATTATAGAATAAGCTTTGTGGATCACAAGCTTACATCTGAATTAAAGTATAATTTAAAAGAAACTTACAAAAACTTTGTCTTAAGACCCTTCTTTACTTGCCATAAAACAACATATTCAACTTTCCCCTCATGCTCTAATTAATAAAATAATATTAATAGTTGTAAAATAAGTCAAATGTTATTCTCATTTCGCCGCTCAACCTGTTCCCTGTCACTGGAAAGGTTTTTGAACATATATTCAGTTAATACAGTACAATACAGTATAATACAATTTCACAGGCACACACACACGCACACACACACAGATACAATAGAGATGTTTGCCAAAAGGGTCCTTCACAAGGACCCACCAATAGAAACAATTTTAAGTCTAAGGTCAATTTCTCATTACTATTCTAATAGTCATATATTAATTGCCCTGTAACTCTATCCATTGTTTACTAAACATACTTATCCTTTTCTTTCCCTCCACCAAAGATTGGATGCAGTAAGACGCCACCGGTCTTTAATTCATACGCCACTATTTTGTCTAGTTCCTGAAATGCAAAACATACTTTGAGCACGTAGTCACAGTAGTTTAAAAAAAAAAACAACGGACTAGATATAGACAGTATCTTAGCTGTTGTCACAACATGCACATCAAGCCATGTGGGGATGAAAAGCACCTTCTTTGAACCTAGGGATCTTTTCTGTTGCTGAAATTGTGAATACGAACCACAAGGACATGCTTATGCTAAACCACATCTGTCCACTAACAGCTGTATTCTAAAATTTTAATCTATCTTTATGGCACGGGTCCAGACTACTTGAGAAACCCCGCTTGCTCTAGCAGAAGGGACATGCTGTGGATCATGATGGCCAAGAACTGCGGCTGGTGGGATCCAGGAAAAGAACCTTTTCTGCCCATGGCACCCTCTCTTTGGAAGATTATGCCCCTTAAAGTAAACTCTGCCCGCCACCACCCACCTGGCCTTCTGCAAGACTATGAAAACGTGGCTCGGCCAACTGATTTGGGCCCCGATGGGGGCGTCCCATTTTGGAAGTGGCCAGTAGACTAGTGGAAGATCCACCCCACTGTACGTGTTGGTTCTTGTATTCATTTTGTTGTTAATTTTAATGTTTTACTCAATGCTTGCTACTGTAATGTTTTTAATCTTTTGTTTTAGATCAGGAGTCTCCAACCTCGGCAACCCTAAGACTTCTGGACTTCAATACCCAGAGTTCCTCAGCCAGCTTTTACTCAGCAAAGCTGGCTGAGGAACTCTGGGAGTTGAAGGCCACAAGTCTTAAAGTTGCCAAGGTTTTAGATCATTATTTTTAGATCATTATTTATGTCATTGTGAGCTGCCCAGAATCGCTCACAGCGAGATGTGCGGCATGTAAATGTAGTAAATAAGTAATTAAAATAAACAGTGATTTGTAATCTGGTTTTTACAGGCCCCTGAGCTATCTCAGAAATCCATCTGGATTACTTAATCCAGAAGTCTGAAATGACGCTCCAAGAAATGGTTGCTTACCTAACCCTACCACTGATGGCAGAGATAATGGGATAAATTTTCACAGAAAATTTGGGGGACGGATGGGGAAGGATTAATTTGGCTTGCACATTAATCTGAGCTAACTAAGAGTCAAAACTGACTCAAAGCTCCCACATCCATCCAAGATAAATGAATACAAATTTCCATTAAAAAAATAAACTGGTAAGAAAACAGAAGAAACAGAAAAAGAAAAATTGAAGAAAAATCTGATTTAAACTGTAGAAAACTAAACTATACATAGTCCCGTCATGGGATTGCTGCCTTCTCCCCCCTCCACCGCCCACACTAAGTATGATAATTCCTGACAGTCAAGGTGAATTGCTGTTTGGAACTACAGAATACTGGATTCCACAACCAGGATGTTGAGTCCAGAGATGGTATTCAGCAGATTCTAACCAGTTCTGGAGAACCAGTAGCGGAAATTTTGAGTAGTTCGGAGAACTGGCAAATTCCACCTCTGACTGGCCCTGCCCCCATCTATTCTCTGCCTCCCGAGTCCCAGCTGATCGGCTGGGTCTTCTTTGGTTGCCCTGCACAGGAGAACAGAGCTGGAAAGCAGGTTAGTGGGGTGGGGAGGGAATGGATATTTTACAGTGTCCTTCCCCTGCCACACCCACCAAGCCATGCCCACAGAACCGGTAGTAAAAAAAAATTGAATCCCACCACTGGTTGAGTCTCCATACATCTAAAGATCTTCCATATCAGGAATGGCTGAATTAGACATTAGACATGTGCTAGAAAAGTACAGAGTTCTCTAAAACGTGAGCCTAATTCTGATTCAATAGATCAGAGTCTTAATTATGTTGTTTCTGACAGCAGGAGGAAGTTCACGTAATTGAACATCCCTCTCTATATAAATACTCTCCATATTAAATATTTTTTTAAAAAAAATCAAAGGAAATGTTAACATAGAATTGTTCTTCCTAACAATCTAGCAGTTATCTTGTCACAAGTCAAAATCACGCCAAGCACTTTCATGTTCTCAGAGTCTTGTGGATTTTTCTTTAAGGTGACTTACTTAATACTTCGTTGGTGACATTAAATAAGTACCCAAACACAACGAAATGTCGTGTGAAAATGTATAATTAGAGTAAGTTCATATTTCAGAAAGTTGTGTATTTAATTCATGGACCATCCTAGCCTTTAATCCACATTATTTTACATAATAGTTCCAAAATTAGCACATACTTGTACATGTTATTTGTATCTTGGTTTATGTCCCTCTATTTGTGATAACTTTGCTTTAAATATATGAAGAACACCAACAGCTTTGTTGAATTTTATCCTCTGGAGATTTAGAGATTCTTGCAAAAGTTCTATCCATCTATCCATCTATTTACCTCCTTAATCCAGTGACGATATTCATTAACACCAAAGGTTTTCTTCATCCAAAGACCATAAATATAACCAGAGATTCCCTTTAATACCCACTCATCTGACCTGCAAATAAAAATGAAAAAAACAAAATATCTTTTGATACAGAGTAGTCTACAACTGCTCCTACTAATACTTGGCTAGTGCAAATATTTTCACAGCTGAAAACATTAGTTACTTTCTAATCTCTCTGCTCTGTGAGTTCTGTAAGCAATCTCTTCTTTATCTGATCCTTCCCTTCCGCTTGCACAGCAGGGAATATGGAGAAGAAGGGATTTCAAGAGAGTAGCTGTTTGCACAGCATATGCATGGTTCTCAGCCTCAGGCTGCGGTTGTGATCATGCTGAGGTTGCAAAGATCATAAATAGTTGTAAATTGGCTGTAAAGTTATTTTTTCAACAACATAATTTGAATGGTTGCTGAACAAGTGGTTGGTAAGTGAGAACTACTTGTACATCAAGACAAGATGAACTGGCATGGATGAATTTACAAAAAGGATAAAATGATAAATAGCTCAGTAAAAACATTAGCCTAGTATAGAATAATTGAATAAACCTGCTATTTTTGCTATTAGAGGCCGAAAATAAAATAACCACTATAAAAAATGTTTCTATATAATTTTTTGGGGTGTGAGTACACCTGGAATCTGATGTATTTTCAGTTATACATGTAGTCTTCCATTACTGATCACTTGGTGCTTCAGTGAACATAGCCACAAAATTACAACCAGTTCTCAAAGGTTCAATCATGTGTGGTACCTTGGCGGTCACATGATTACGATTTGGACATTTGGGGCACTGTCCCACAGTCAGATGATTGTCATTTATGACCATTGCAGCCATTTTCCAACATGCAAACTCAATGGAGAAGCTGGCAAAAGTTGCTGGCATATGACGCTATGTTTAACAATTCATGGTGATATACTTAACTGCCAGAATTGATGTTGTAAGTTAGGCAGTTACGTGACTTTTCACTTTACCGCAATATTGCAACTGCCAATCCCAACTGCAGTCAGTAAATGAGAACTACCTGTACTTTCAATTTATCCTTTCATAAATGCTTTCATTTTATGCTAATTTACCAGTCATGTTTTGAGATGCTTGGTTGAGTATTTATTTGTTGGGGTCTTTATTCACCCAAAATTCCAGGATAAGGCAAGAAATGTCCAAGTAAATTCAGCACAGCTATCAATCGTGGCTTTCAGAATTATTCGTAAAACCAACGATGGTACTAATGCTAATCTTCTTTATGTTTAGCAGTATGCTAACTCTTCACACATTGAAATGCAAAATTCTTTCTCCAAGATATCCAATTACTCACCAAGACATTCTAGATATAAAGCAGCCGAAGAACTGCTGGGCTAGGGCTTCAGCCAAGCACCTCCTGGTTAGAGGAGTCTCATCTATTATCATGGCACTGTGCAAAAGGTTCGTGCTAATTTACAAACATAAGAAAGTAAATATCAAATGGGGAAAAATTAGAAAAGCAAGCAGCTTTTATACAAATGTAAACAAACTATTTTATTAGTGGCTTTATATCATTAGTAGCAGTGATATATAATTGATATCCAGGTACTTCTTACAAAAACACACCTGTTTACATACTGCTACTGGGAGCATACCAACCCTCAACCACTTCCAGGTAGACCCCTGGAGTATTTTCTGTTGGATTCCATAGGGAAATCAGAGTGTATCTGAAGGCCAATGAAACCTGTAGCTCAGGTTTCAAATGAGAGGTCCTTGATGCTTTCTGAGCTTGGCTGTTTTCCTGTTGATGTTTTATTACTCAAACTAGGGTAACATCGCACTGATGTTACCTAGTTGAGTAATGAAACGTCTGCAAGAAAACAACCAAGCTCAGAGAGCACCAAGCACCGCACTTTCCGAAGAAGGCAGTTAGGCAGATAACAGTACTTTATAGATAATCAAGTAAGAGCCGTGGGGGTGCGGTGGTTAGAATGCAGTATTGCAGACTAGTTCTGCTGACTGCCAGCTGCCAGCAGTTCAATTCTCACTGGCTCAAGTTGACTCAGCTTTCTATCCTTCCAAAGTCATAAAATGAGGACCCAGATTGTTGGGGGTAATATGCTATCTCTGTAAACTCTTAGAGGGGGCTGTAAAGCACTGTGATGCGGTATATAAGTCTAAGTGCTGTTGCTATCAGCAGCACCTTCAATTGGACCTGGAAACCTACTGACAACCAATTTGTGACAAAATTCTTACAAACTGAGGTTATTTTACTAAATTGACTAATTCTAACTAGAAAGCAAACAGCTGCATCCAGTGTCACCTGCAGTTTTGAAGTCATCTTTAAGGACAGTCCAACAAACAAACCATGATCATTTTTGTTCAGACATGGTTAGGGTTTCAATGGGTTACTGTTATAATAAATACCAACCTAAAGATGCTCATAGAAGCATAAGCAGCTACTTCAACATAGGCCTCATCTACAAAAACTGTTTTGAAGCAGGAGTAAGGGTAACGACAAGTAAGTATCTCTTCATAGAATTCAAATACTTCATGGAGATATGATGTAGTATGTTTGAGCAGGGGAAGAAGTTGGGGTAAACAAAAATGGGTGACCTAGAATAAATAATAGAAAGAACAGAACATGTAATTTAATAATTGGATGGTAATTAGAGCAAGAACAGGAATAACTTTTAACTCAGCAATGTTTGGCATGTCCTACAGAACATAATATTAGAATACTTTAGAAAGCCAGTGAAAGGACATCAATGATAGCCCTGAATGAATGGCCTTGGCAAACAAGTTGCATATAGTAAAAAGTAACATTAATACTGGAAAATTGTATGGAATCAGGTAACTAAAAATTAATGAAATGTCACTGTTTTTTGCAAAAACAGAAAAAGGACAAAGGCTGGGAGAAATTTGTTATCAATATATTTGTCTCCTTATTCAACTCTAGCTTTGAAAATTAAGAATTGCCAACAATATGTATTGTATTAAAACTCTCTTAAATTTTGTATATGAATAACGCAACAAAAATGATATCTCAACCGCATTACCCAAACATAACACTAACACAAATCTATTTCAATATTAAATCAAAATAAACTCGTCCAAAAGCATTACCTCGTGCATGTATGGATCGACAAGAATTTCAAATGGTCCAATAGCCAAGGAGATGTTAGATGCAGCAGTGGGTATTGGCAGCATATAATGGAAAGTCTTCTTTCTCATATCGTGAGTGTACACAGTTTCCACTAAATCACCGTTTGAGACTGCCACCATTGTGGCGTCGACAGTATATTCCAGTTTCCATGTGCAGAGTTCTGAATATGAATCAACACAAGGAAACCAGAACCTAGAGAGAAAATTGAAAAATAGAAATAATTAGTATTTACACAATAAAGAGAAGCCACAGTTGCATTAATAGATGGAGTGAAATCATCAAAGCCCACAATAAATAATAGTATAATTAGAACCAACAAAAATCTTAAAAACTTGCACCAAGCAAGGGATTTTTTATTTCTTTCCTTAATATTAGGCTAATTTCTTAAAATACTGTGAGATGTTTACCCAAAGTATATAATTGTATTAAACATAATTTATTGCATATGTCATGGAAAGCCAAAATAATATAAAATCAGGCACGTTACCAAAAGCTAAAATCGTAAGATTACGTCCGGTTTACTTTGGCCATGTCATGTATGCAAATTCATTGGAGAAGGTAGGAATGGTTAGTGGAACAAGAAGGAGCAAGCAAAGGACACGTTGGCTTGATAACATCAAATCTGATACAAAGTTGAACATCCAACAAATGAAAGAAGATGTGCTTGGCAGGGTAGCATGCAGAGCACTTGCCTATAAAGTCAACAAAAGTCGGACAGGACTAAATCGTTGAAACAACACTATAGCTGCATTAACAGTGATTGTATAAGCAGCTGTCATGGATCCTAAGTAAAATCTGTCCCCTTACTGGATTGTATCAATAAACAAAAAGATACAAGAACTGCTTACCTCAAGAAGTACCATAAATCTGCCTTTTTTAACTGAGTTCTTAATGAGGCTTCCTGTATTAATTGTACTGCCTTTTTTATAGACAATAAATTTATCAAGAAGGTAAACTATGTAATTGCTGCACTATTTTTTTTTTATCAGAAGCAGTAAGAACTATTTGTTTAGAAATATCCATAGATAAAAGCATTTAAACGTCAGGATGCAGTCTTACACTACTAAACTTGGACCTCTCTAGGATTTCTATTAAATTATTATTTTATGATAATATTTCAGGAGTCTGTACAGCAAAGAACATTTGTTAATGTATTTTTGGTTGAAGATAATGGTTTCAGTGACCATAATATCCTATCAAGAAAAAAACACCACATTGTTCAGTAATCCATGTTAAATGAATGTGCATATCTTACTTTGGGGGAAATACCTTAATTGACTTGTTTGCAATCAAAATGAGGAAAAAAGCATGTACCTTGCTACACTGACAGACATCTGTTCAAGTAAATAATATGCTGGTCTCAAACTTTTAATTCAGAATTAGAGGTCATTAGAGATCATGTACAATGGCATAATAATAATAGTTCTATCTGAATGCTAGTTTTATCTGAACTAGTTGAAAAACAATAGATTAATTAAGGCAATACTGAATACTTATTGTAAGAAACAGATTTTAACTATACCACCAATTTTAACTTTTAAGTACTTTTAAAATATCAACACTTCAACTGTAATTTTTTGCACATTACTATAAAGTAAAAACTTTCTACATTAGAGCAAGAAGAATAGCAACCAATTCAATGGAGATTAAACGAAGATGGAATGAGTATTCTAAAATACTGCATAGTAGAGATGTCAACTTCTAAGGTACATTGGAACAATGTTTTTCATGTTTGACAACTTTCAAATGTTTGGACTTTAGCTCCAAGAATTTCCCAGACGGTACAACAATTAAGAATGAAGGTATCAATAGCTTCTGACTTTTAGGATCAATCATCAACAGCAAAGGAACAACCAGGCAAGATATATGTGATGGACAAGCACTGGGTTCAGCAGCCATAAAGACTTTGGAAAAGTTATTTAAATACTGGGATGTGTCTCTATCCACAAAGATCAGATTCATTCTGGTAAGGGAATTCCCTGTAACATTCAATGGAAGTGAAAGTTGGCCTTTGAAGAAGTAGGATATCCAAAGGCATTTTTTCAAGAGGCAACTGGACCTTCTGGTTTTTCTTTGAAGATGTTTTGCCTCTCATCCAAGAAGCTTCTTCAGCTCTTCTTCTTGGATGAGAAATGAAACATCTTCAAAGAAAAACCAGAAAGTCCAGTTGCCTCTTGAAAAAGCATCTTTGGGACAACCATGAATCTCCATGGACATTTAGGATGGGAAGAATATTCATGTGTTGGACTTTGGAGAAGAAATCCGAGAATGCTATAGACAGGCAAGAAAACAGACAACTGAACAAATCAATCCAGAGTTCTCACTCGAAACACAAATGACCAGGTTCAAATTACCCTACTTTGAGCACATTATATGAAGCACTAGCTGTCTGGAGAACACTCTACTATTAGGAAAGATGGAAGGATGACCAGTAGCAAGGTGGATGGACTCAGGTGGAAGACCTCAAAGACCAGGTTAAGGACAGACTGCCATGGGAGAAAATCTAGGTGGTTGCTAAGAGTTGATAGCGACTTGATGGCGCACCATCAAACAAAAATAAATAAATAGAAAAAATAAATAAATGTATTTAGTTACATACGCAAGAACTATATAACGCTATTTACCTTTGTTTTGAAAATTGCATTGAACCGAATAGTCCTTGCCAATATATTCTTTTTTCTCGTGACTTAGAAATCCTTAAATAACTGAAGCAAAATGGGCTTGTTTCAACACTTTCCCACATATACAACAGAGAGAAATGCACACACCAGGAAAATTACTTCTACCAGGAGAATAAGATTGCCCAAATCTCACCTTGTAGAGTTTTGATAACCACAAGAGAAAACGTGGGCGCCTCTTTCCGCCAAGCTGCCTTCCACATTAGGTACCACAAAATGTAAACCTCCTTTTGGTTGATCCAAAGAAAAGTTGATGTGTATCTTTAACACTTTTAATTCTGGAGCAGTTAAAAAAAAAAGACCACTGCTTTAAAATGTGTATATATAGTCATCACTGAGAATTCTGCATTTATAATATTAACTTATTTGGAAAGAGAAAAGTAGGCTGCTGAAAGTAGGAATCCTATAAATATATATAGGTAGTCCTCATCTTACAATCATTCATTTAGCAATCATTCAAAGTTACAATGGTACTGAAAAAAGGGGGGGAAATGCTGGTTGCCAAGCGCCCAGATTTTGATCACGTGATTATGGGGATGGTAACCATTCATTTAGTGACTGTTTGAAGTTACGACAGCACTGAAAAAAAGGGACTGATAACCAGTTTTCACATTTACAAACGTTGCAGCATCCCCGTGGTCACGTGATCAAAATTCACGCGTCTGGCAACTGGCATGTATTTATGGCGGTTGCACCGTCCTGGGTTCATTTCTAACCTTCCGAGCTGGCTTCCGACAAGCAAAGTCAATGGGGGAACCCAGACTGCATGATTCCATAAAGGGAGGGATATGCTTAACAACGGTGGCAAAAAAAAGGAGATCATAATGGGAAGAAAACTCACTTAACTGCCTTGCTTAACAACAGAAATGTTGGGCGCAATTGTGGTTCATAAATCAAGGACTACCTGTGGTCACCTGGTTGAGAGTTGGGTGGCTACAGAAACTGAATGAAGAAATAAATCTAAGTAAATAAAACAAACATTTATTTCACAAATCGGTAGGACCTTGTACTGTACCATCAGCATGCTTCCAAAGCTCTGATGGCACCTTAATACACAACTCTCCATTTCCAGCATCTGGATCCACAGCACTGACTGCAGCAGCATAGGCATTGGAAAAGTAGTTGAGATTTCGCCTGTAACGTGAATGGGTGGATTATTTCAAGTTTCAGCAAAAACTGGATTAAGAAAAGGCAATCCACATTTTGGAAGCAGCTCCTCCCCAAAACAACGAAACAGCATTCCAAAGTAATAAATCCTCCAGCAAGTACTACGTTTCTAAGACGATACATTCTTCTAACACCCTGGAAAAGCCATTCAATAACCATAGAACATGTGAAGTGTTTTAAGAAAACCCCAAGAAAACTATCACGTATTGTATATTCTCATAATATGGATTCAGCACATGGAGCAAACCATCCATGAATCCGTTCACCCACATCCATCTATCTGGCTTACAGACATTCAATCACAATGCACTATAAAACATTAAAGTAAATAAGGATCATAAATTTATAACGTTCAATAAAAATAAAACTAATCAGGATGGAAAGGAAGGGAGCAAAGTGTGCACAGAAAAGAGATGGGGTATTATCTACTCTTATTAGAAACCTTCAAAGTACCACACCTCCATTGGGGCCCTGGGCTAAATGGCAGAACCATGTTTTCAAGGCCTCTCGGAAGGCCAAAAGGATAGGTGTGGACATCACTTTGAAGTTCCAGGCATGATGTTCCAGAGGGTGGGAGCCACCACAGAAAAGGCTCTTCTTCTGAACCCTGCCAGCTGAAAAGGGCTAATCCCATCAGGGTGAGCCTGTTTCTCAGGTGGCCTAGACCCATGCCATGCAGTGCTTTAAAGGTAATCATCAACACCTTGATCTGGATTTTTTTTAATTTATTTACTTGCATCTCACCTTTATTATTTGTACAAATATCTCACGGCAGCAAACATACCCATCACATTTCCTCCTATTTTCTCTACAACCCTGTGAGGTGGGTTGAACTGAGAGACGATGACTAGTACCCGAAGTCACCCAGCTGGTTTTCATGGTGAAGGTGAGCAAGGCCTAGTCTTTAAAAAATCTTCGTTATTATTTTCATTTTAGTTTTTTGTTGCTTATTTTCATCTTGCTTTTCCTCCTCAAAATAACATAAACTCTCAGTACCCTCACACACTATGAAGGATATTGGGAGCTGCGGTTCTATAGTATCTGAAGGGCAAAAGATTCCTCCACTTTGTATTCAACAAAACGTGATTCAGAACAGCTTATTTTGGCTAGGTAGAAATTAAGAACAATACAGCTACTAAAATTGGAGAGTCCTATGGTATTAAAATATCTCTGTAATTTTTTTTAAATATTTCTACTACATGACATGAAAATGCTCATAATGACTAAATGGTCCAATACTTTCTCTATAGCAAGTTATGAACTGCACAAAATGACCACCATGAACAAAAAGTATTAGAGACCTTGAATTTAATTTTAATTAATTCAGTGATGCTGTTTCAACTTTCCCAAAATATAGTACAAGAAGTTTCTATTGGTAGTTATTATTGCCAAACATCTGCATTCCAAAACATCTCTATTTAAAAGGCATCTGTAGTTCTGAAATCCAATTTATATTCTGCCATAATGACTGATAGGACATTAATCAGTGTGACCTGTTACTTACTGTTTTGACTCACTGTGACAAACTTCCAGTGTTGGGTCATTATAAATAAAAGCTGCTTCCAAATCATTGACTCTAACTCTATATATCCTGCATTGCTTACTGTTCAGCTTAATTCTATTCAAGTTTGCAACTGTTGGAAATATTGTCAGCTCCACATAGCCCTACAAAAAAAAAAAGAAATCCCATGTCAGTCATACTTTATATAATTAGCACAAAAAGATTATAATTAAAGTTGTTTGTTTTTTATAAAACAAGATGTGCACAAATGAGTCTGTGCAAGGAACAGCTGGTTTGGATTGATCTGCACCCAAACGAAACTTATGATATTTATGCAATGCTGATACATTTGCATCTCAGGTAAAATAGGGGAGGGAGGGATAAGAAGATATTAGGAAAATTGAGGCCGGGTAAAAGCAAGAAAGAATTTCAGTCTTGCCCCAACCTGCTCTGCCTGTTCACTCTGGCATCCCTCTGAATTTTATTCACAGCTAAAACTCAATCAAACTTTTCTGGATTTTCTTTCTTCTTTGGATAGGTGATCCAAAACTGTTAGCAGAACTTTTAGAATGCAATGGTTTGCTTCTGAATCAAAGCAAAACATATTTTCTATTTCATGCAGACCTTTATTTAAAGCATTAAAAAAAAGAGTTCTCTATCATTTGATGAACTTCCGCTTTCTCACTGGCATTTCTAATATTACTTTTTGGAATTGCATTCTCCTTTTCAAAAATGAAACACAATCATTAGAATTGCAATACACTATTGATCAGTAACAGCACTCTGTGATATGCTGGCCACATGACCGTGGAAATTTCTTCAGACAGCTCTGGCTCAATGCGCCTAAGAAAAGTCCCCTATAGTCAGTAATGACTATTGGAGCAAAATCACAAAATCCTCCTTTTCTTGATCAGTAAAAGAATTCCAACACAGAGATTAAAGCCCATGTATTGTTTCATAAATCTCAATCTTAGAAGGAAAAGCATATGCTGATTCTCTTTTCAATTAACTTACAAAATGAGTTTAGCTCACCAAAAAATCTACATGTGAAATATTCAAACTAAGATTTGGACTACTGCTATAAAAAAAGCAAAACTCAAACAAAGAATAATTAATGCAAATAGACAGTGTGAAACAAAATTATTTCTTTTTTTCACATCTTCTCTCTGAAGATGCCCTAAACAAGTTGAATGGCTAAGCAGAGATTTGAAACAAGATCTTATAGAATATCAGACTACGACTTTAGATTCATTGTTAATCCCCTAATATTTTATTTATTTTAAAACATTTGTATGCCTTCTATTTAAGGGTAAAACTCTGAGAAACACAATAAAACCACCAAACTACAAAAAAAAAAAAAAAGCCTAGCATGATTTCTGAATCTGCTAATTGTGATGAAATCAAGAAAAATCATTAATGTGCCACATGTGAAGCTATCTATCTGCAGTCTATGCCACAAGGCATTAAGTCAGAAATGTTTCCCTTTGATCTATTTTTTTTAACTGAGTCTATCTGAGATGAAGAAACTAAATTGCTCTCAGTAAGGAAGGAAGGTTTGGTATCCATTAGTAATCTATCGTTCTTAACATACTTACAACAACAGATTTTCTCTGAAAATTTATGCTGTTGATGCAAATCACCTGATGGGTTGTGCTAGGAAAAAAAGGAAAATTCAAAATAAAGATTTTGATAAATCTAGGTTAACAGACATACTTAACATTTGGTAATAAAAACAAATTCCTAGCTCATCTTTTGGGCATGCTGTGCATAACCTAATATTTTAAGAGGCCTATAAAAATATTTCCATGGAATGTTTCAGTTCAAGAGTGCCTATGGCTAAGTCTAGACAAAAAGTATTTTCACTATGCCTTATTTCACATTTAATTAAAAAGATATATACAACGTGTAGATATAAAATACATTTAGCACTAACAGTATAAACACACTGAAATTTCATTTTCATTCATTAAAACAGTTCAAAAATGTATGTTTCTTAATGTTTTGAACTAGGGTGGTAAATTATTTCCCTGACATCAAAGCTTTCCTTTCTCACCAAATTTTAGATAAGAATTATCAGAATGTTAGTGAAAGATTTCCAGATTTCAACTATCCAGTTCACTACAAGAATATGTCATACTTATTTCTCCCCAAATTCTCAATTGTCTCAGCTTTCTTGACTGATCAGAGTAACTATACATAGCAATAAATAATCCAAGTACAGCCCTATGCTGAAATCAACGCAATACCTTATAGAGAACTGTGTGAAACAAAGAGACCTGTTAAATGTACAGGTAGTCCTCAACTTACAATCACAATTGAGCTCCAAATTTTTGTTGTTAAGTGACACACCTGTCAAGTTAATTTTGCTTATTTTACCACCTTTCTTGCCACAGTTATTCAGTGAATAACTGCAGTTAATAACATGATTGTTAAGCGAATCTGGCTTTCCCATTCACTTTGTCAGAAGATCACAAAAAATGATCACATGTCCCCGGGACACTGCAACAGTCAGGTGTCAATTGCCAAGTATCTGAATTTTGATCATATGACCACAGGGATGCTACAAAGGTTTTAAGTGTGAAAAATTGTCACAAGTCACTTTTTAGTGCCATTATAACTTTGAATGGTCACTAAATTAACTGTTGTAAGTCAAGGACTATCTGTATTTATGTTCTGACTACATTAGTCTAAGTAATTCATAAAACTCATACTAAAAATCCAGTCCAAATTGATTGCGGGAACATGCTGCATATTGCCTCTAGGCACAAAGTTATTCTTAAATAAAGTTATTCTAATATAAATAAAAAGCTATATCCCAGATATGGCACAAGTCCCCCCCACAAAGATGAATTCTATCTTATATGAAATTGACATCTATTCATTAAAATATAAGTTCAACAATTTTCTTATTTATTGTTCATACCAGTCTTCAACAAATAAGACATTGGACATTTCAAAGATACTTCATGATAATTTAAAAAGGAAACTATAGTTAAGTATACTTATAATTTATAAGGTCTTGGGCTCTCAAACCCTTTGTCTCCTTTCTTTCTGTTCATGATGAAGTACTAAATTTTGGTGAAAATCAAACACATATCATCATCCTCTTTAGCAGTCTTTACAAAAGTACTTTCAATTCTTCCTTTTTTGACAAGTTTTTTGTAAGAAAGCATTTTTGACAGTGAATCTTAAAACAACCTGAAGAAACATCCAGAGGCACTATTACCCATTTAAAAATAGAAAAATAAATGTAAAAAATGTGTATGATCAACTTAAGGAATTATTTAAACCAGAAACTTAGTAACACTGATTCCTAAGACTCGGATATTTACACCTCATATTCAAGATTATAATGTGATGTAATTATATGTAACAAAGCAAGGAACCATTTCTTCTTTAAAAAATTTCCTCTGGTAGTTACAGAACGGCAGATTTATATTGTTGTATTTAAAATATTTATCTTATAAGTAGCAGCTCTTAGCATCCAAATCAAACTGTTAAAACATTTTCTACAGCCATTTAGTTATGCAGTGCAAAGGCTTCTCCTCTTTATAACAGCAAGTTGTATCGTATCACCAAATATTTTTAGGCTGAATTGTTAGCGCTATTCACATCTGGAGAAAAGGACATTAAAGTAATCTTCATAGCTGAATATGTTCCAACTACAAATCCGGTCGGAATCACTTCCAGGTAATCTTACAATATTTCCAGACTTATTGTGTGGGGACTTTCTATTATAATCTTTTGATCCTTAGCAACCATTTGGATTTAATCACCAAGGGAACATCTGACTTAAGTAAAGGGTACGTCCAGCTGCCAGGTCTTCTCAAAAGGCTTCTTAAGGTCGCCCGGACATTTTCCTGAGGGGTTCAAAGCAAGTTTGGAGATATCAATTCACAGCAAGTTAGGCTGGTGAGAGGAAAAGGAGGCCAACGCAATGGGGCTCCAGCTGCACCGGAGAAGGAGAGGCGGCAGGGACCTCCGACAGGCAAGGAAGCTTGTTCGGAGGGGAAACGGCGGCTCTTAATGAGAACCACTGAGAAAAGCGAGCGATATTCCGGGAAGTCACAGGCGTCTTCTGAAAACAGCGGCGTTTAAACCCTCCAGGAGAAAGTCGCAGAGATGTTTCCTCTCGAGCAGGCGGCCTGCGAGAGACGTCTCCACGTCCGCAACTCCACGGAGATGAGCGAGGCTTGGCGGCTCTCCTTAAGCCACTTCCCCACGGCGGATCGGCACCTTCCTTTCGTTAGACATATTGGGCGCCATATTCCCTGCGACTTTTGATCTTTCACCCCGGGGCAAAGGTCAAACTCTCCTTCTATTAGACCTTCTCTGCAGTTATCGCCCTCTTGCTTTCAGGTCCGGAATCACAGTCGCTCAAGATAAGCGAGACGAGAAGAAAGGGAAACCGAAGGGAATGACCCATGCGCAGTAGAGAAACTATTTCAAAGGAAGGCAGCGCGCATGCGTCACAAACTAGGAAGCTCATTGGTAGAGGGGGAAAGGCTGCGATTGGCTGAGCGAAACCAATCACGCTCAGCGTTGGCGGGGGATTATTTCGCGCGTATTTTTGAAGGCGAGCAATGCAGCATTGCTTACTTCATTTTTTAGGCATCTGTAACAACACTCAAGTTGTTTTTTAAGGTCTATAAAGCAGGAGTCTCCAAACTTGGCAACTTTAAGGCTTGTGGACTTCAACTCCCAGAATTCTCCAGCCAGCTAAAAGAATTCTGGGAGTTGAAGTCCACAAGTCTTAAAGTTGCCAAGTTTGGAGACCTCTGGTCTATGATTCTCAGTCATTCAGGCAATGGTTGTCTCCAAGGTGTTTTTTTTTCCCCCAAGAGGCAACTGAATTTTCTGGTTTTTCTTTGAAGATGTTTCGCTTCTCATCCAAGAAGCTTCTTCAGTTCTGAAGGCTTAACACCTTTGAGTGTTAAATTAGAAGGCAGTATTTTAAAGAATGGGATTTGGTCACATAAATACTATGAGGTTTACATATACATGGAAAAGGTTGAGAATAAGCACAGGTAGTCCTCAACTTACAACAGTTCATTTAATGACTGCTCGAAGGTATAACGGCACTGAAAAAAGGTGACTTGACGGGTTTTCACACTTACGGCCATTGCAGCATTCCCCATGATCATAATCCAAATTCAGACGCTTGGCAACTGACTCATATTTATGACCGTTGCAGTCTTCTGGGTGCATAGGCCACCTTCTGACAGGTCAATGGGAAGCCAGATACACTTAATAAATACATTACTAACTTAACAACTGCGATGTTAAGTGATTCACTTAACTGGAAAGAAAGGTCAAAATGGGGCAAAACTTAACAAATGTCTCACTTAGCAACAGAAATGTGGGGCTCAATTGTGCTTGTAAGTCTACCTGTATTGCATTTTATGTTTCTGTATATCCCATTTTTTTCCTGACATTCAGTATTAGTCCATACACTGAGTCAGGTTTATTCAACATTTTATCTAATTTACTTAAGAGTAAGACTCTTCAGAAAGAAAAGCAAACAAAAAACAAAAAGCTCATATTATAAAAGTTGATGTCAGAAAAGGAAATAAAGCAAAGGCAAAGATATGCTCCAACTACGTTGAACTATATCAGAATATCATTTGGAAACTAGACTGTCTAGAATTCTGTAAGCTACAAACCAAATAGCAGAATTGTGTCTGGATAGACTGATTTAGTTTTTCCAAAGATCAGGTTTAAATGTTAGTTAATATAAAGAAAAGATTAAAGAAAACCATCCTCTATCTATCTTAAATGGATCTTCTTTGCAGTGTGTGTTTTAATCTATACAATTTTTAAAATTTTAATACAGATTTAATTTAAACAAAATACAGAAAAGAGTTGAATAAAATACTCATATATTGCTATTTACATTTTTCTAGAAATATCAGTTTCAACAGTAAAGAACTCTCAAGAACTCCTAATATTATTAGATGCCTCACAGAAAATTGTGGGTCTTAAACTATGTGGCAAAACCACAAAAAAATTGATCTACCAGTTGACGGTGTTTAGAATATTTTCAGCCCCAGCTTTGTTGAAATAATTCTTAGGAAATGGGTCTTCTTGAATTATAAACTTTGAGTCCATTCTGCATTGAAGAACGAGCGTATTTCGTTAGAAGTGTGCCAATTTTTTGCTTCTCTGAGCATAAATCCCTGTAAAATAGAAGGATTTTTAAAAATGTATTTTCCAAAATCATTTTAACAATTTCAATATTCTAAGGCAAAGTACAAAATCATCAATAACACTGTATTTCAATACAGGTAGTCCACAAAATATGACCATAATTGAGCCCAAAATGTCTGTTGTGAAGTGAAACATTTGTTAAGTGAATTTTGCTCCATTTTACAACCTTTCTTGCCACAGTTGTTCAGTGAATCACTCATTTGATAAGTTGGTAATGTGGTTGTTAAGTAAATCTGGTTTTCCCATTGATTTTGCCAGTCAAAAAGTTCTAAAAGGTGATCACATGACCTTGGGACACAACAACGGTCGTAAGTATGAACTGGCTGCCAAGCACCTGAATTTTGATCACATGATCATGAGGGTGCTACGAAGATCGTAAGTGTGAAAAATGGTCATAAGCCACCTTTTTTCAATGCTGTTTGAATGGTCACTAAATGAACTGTTGTAAGTTGAGGACTACCTGTACACAGTGTCAAGTAGCATACAATCTTGACTTAGAGAGGGAAATAGAAAATAATGTGCAATGATTGCAAGAAAGAATGCAAAAGGAAATGAGGAAGTCATTCGTTAACAGAAAGATACTTGCAATGGACCAAAAATACTTCAATTCTAATAGCGAACAAAAGCAAGGATGTTGTTTCTGAGTAGCTGCCAAAATCAGCATACATAGTTTGGTTTTTGGGGTTTTTTAATATTTTTTTAAATTTTTATTACAACAACAAAAAACAAACATAAAACCTTCTTTCTGTTCCAGTGTCAGTTGAGTACATATTTCTTCATGCACAAAATATTATCATACATATTTAACTTGTATATATTTATAATCATTCTTATTCATATTTTATATCACATATGTCACTTATTCTATTATCCTTAGCTTAATAATCATTAACTTTCAATAATATATTTCAAGGTCATTTTCTTACCCTATCTAGACTGTTGCAGGACTGTAGTTATACTACTTACTCTATATATGGAGTGATATCAGCTTCTGTCCACTTCTCCCGAATAGAGAACAAGTGTTTAAATCTTTCATTATCATCTTCTGGTAAATCTTCAACATTCAGCAGGAAAATAATCTCTGGTTTAGAAGATCTATCTACAAGAGCCAACCCCTTTGAATAAATAAAAATCAAAATTGGAATATGTCCAGGAAACCTTTAATGAGTAAATTAAAATATAAAGTTAATAAACATTTCAAAAATGCGCATTTGCTATGTTTATGTATTGTTCTTTCTTTTAATGAGAGAACTTCTTAACAGTTTCAGCCTTCCATCAACCTCATGATGTACGTTAGGCTAAAAGATGCAGATGACTTGAGACCATCCAATCCCCAGAAGTCCTAATCTGACCCTAATATTTGTGGATTTTCAAATTTATGCTCCAGACTGAGCGCATTTGTGGAAGTGGCACATCTCATATCATGTTACCTTTAACTGATCCAGTCTAGTTGTCATTCCTTCGGGGACACTCTGCTGCCACACTTCTTGAAATTCCGAGAGGTTAAATTTAACAGCATTTTGTAAGAGCATTTGTGCAATTGCTCTACACACCTTCTCTTCATTCATTTCAAAGTAAGCCTCACCTGGGAAGGAGCATTAACAACCACAAGTAATTAAGGAAGATGTCGCACACACTTAAGTGTATCTTTAAAAAAACTCGTCAATCTCAAAATAACATTATATGCCAGAATTAATTCAATAGTTTAACCTTGAATCTGGTATTATCAGGTCTTCATTCATTGAATTTTAACCTGACATCCTGATCTAATGAATATTCTAACCAGGTGTATCATCTTCATTATTAAAAATGAGCAGCTATGAAGGAAACCTACCTTCATCCATGTATTTTTTCCCGTAACTTTCCAGGATGTGTTCTATCATTTCTCTGAAATAGAAATGTGCTTAATTTCAGTATTCAGCTTGTTCTCTACAGAATTTGATTTAGAACTAGTCACCTAGGGTTATCCTTATATTATTTATGAACACATTTTATTTGAATGTGTGATAAATATTTAGGTGCACTTATATAACACCTCTTAGAGCTTGTTTATAGGGCATGCTGAAGACTAATGCACTCCCTTGCACTAAAGGTAACCTGACAACTGTTTTCTCCTACCATGTTTTCCTGAAAATAAGACCCTGTCTTATATTTTTTTGCCACCAAAAAAGGCACGAAGTCTGATTTTCGGGGGATATCATCCACTGACTAACCTGTTGCCCCCAGCCTCCTTTTTGCTGTCAGAGGTGTTCAGGAATTTATTCTGTGGCTGGCAAGGCTTTCCTGAAGGCCTCGGCAGCTGATAACAGAGCTCCAGATCAATCCAGGACTTTGTTATCAGCTACAGAGCCCTTCAGGAAAGCCTTGCCAGCCTTACTGGCTGCAGAAGAAATGGGCTGGCAAGGCAGGTGTCGGGGTTTGTGAGGTCTGGCTACAACTGTCCAAAGATAGGCAGTAGGGCAGCTCCACCCCCTATGCCCACCCTAGCTTAATTTTTACCCATCCACTCTGAAATGGGAAGCATCTTAATTAGGGCTTATTTTGGGTGCATGTGTAAAAATCTGGCTAGGATTTACTTTCATGGTCATATTTTCGGGGAAACAGGGTAGTTCACTAGAACAGGGGTCACCAACCCCTGGGCCGCAGCCTGTTTGTAACTGGGCCATGCAGTTGGTGGGTGAGCATGAGCGTGTAGCTCCCCTTGCATGCAAAGTTTCCCTCACACTAGCGGTAACCATCTTGCGCTCGTGCATGAAGCTCCCCTTGTGCGAGCAGCAGCTGCTGGTACTCGCGCGTAAAGCTCCCTTCACCTGATTGGTGGGTGCACCTGCCCGTCTGCTGGTTGCACAAATGGAGCTGTGTATAATCATGCTTGCCTGCCACTCACAAGGAGCTATCCCCTCTCCTCCACAACAGGCCGCCAAGGCAGAAAGGTTGGGGACCACTGCACTAGAGCTGAGGCCCCCAACCCCCAGACCATGGATTGGCACCGGTCCACAGCATGCCAGAAACCAGTCCATGCAAACAAGCAAAGCCCCATACGTGGGAGGCAGGCAGTACACAAAACGC